CACATATGTAAGTGGATCCAAAGAGAACCAACATCTTCTGAGCATGCCTCCTTAGGTTTGGAAAGCTCTCCTCTTTGAGAGAAGAATAAAAAGTCAGCAGCGATACTGACTTAAAGTGCTCTGCCAGCAGTTTATCAGACTGCAGATCAATGAGTTCAAGCTGGACATCGCTGGGTGCAGTATTCACACTGCAGCTGAAGGGAGAGGAAATCATGTGCATTTCATTCTCAGCTGTTTGGAAGTCTTCAAATCGTCTTGAAAATTCAGCACGCAGTGCCCCCAGCATGGATGAGGAGCTGTGGAGGTGATCAGCTGATGGTGTGACTTCCTTCAGTGTGGGCATGTGGGCAAGAATGTTGCCCTCCAACTGGCTTGAAAGAAACTTGAGCTTTCTCATAAAAGCTGTCACCAGGCTGTACATTGCATGTGCAAAGAGGCCTTTGCCTTGCAGCTTGGTATTTAGTTCATTCATCAGTGCATTCACATCAACAGCAAAAGCAAGGTCTGCCATCCAGTCTGCATCTGAGAGCTCGGTGATGCCCCTTGCCTTTCTTCTCACAAAATGCTTGAATCTCTGCTCTCAGATCCCATACTCTTTTAAGCACCTTGCCCAGGCTGAGCCATCTGACAGCTGTCTGGTAACCGAGGTCACCATGTTCATTCTCATGCTCCTCCAAAAAGACGACAAACTGTCTGTGATTAAGTGCTCTTGCCCTGATGAAGTTAACAACTTTAGTTACATCAATCACCTGGTTGATTTTTAGCACTGACTTGCAGGACACTTCCTGATGTATAATACAATGCAACAGTATCAGTTTCTGTTCTGGGTTTATTTCAGTCACTTTATCTTGCATCCGCTTCAAAAGTCCGACATTTTTCCCTGTCAAATTTGGACAGCCATCAGTTGTAACACCAACCAAATTCTCCCATTTTAGTCCCAGCTTGTTCATGCAAGTATTTACCTCTGTGAACAAATCACTCTCTGTCGTGGTCCCTTTCATCGGCCGCATAGCTGCCAGCTCCTCCGTCATCTCAAAGTTTTTAGTTAATCCACGTACAAAGATGAGTAACTGGGCTGTGTCATGGACATCACAGCTCTCGTCCAGAACCAAGGAGAAAACGTCAAAATTGTCCACTTTGTTTTGCAGCTGAAGCTCCAGATTTTCTGCGATACTCTCCACCCTCCTCATTACGGTTTGCCTGGAAGGGGGCACGTTAACGAACACTTCTTTTTTCTCCGGGCATAGAAGCGCTGCAGAGTCCACCAGGCATTCTTTGACAAACTCCCCATCAGAGAATGGCTTACTTTTTTTGGTGATTTTGTAGGCTATTAGAAAGCTCATCTTGACTGCTGCGTCCCTTGATGTGTGATCTTTGGTAAAAAAAATCCTTGCTGCTTTTGCAGCTTAGCTAGCAAAGCTTCAGATGTCTGTGTCCACTTTGCATCAGTCAAATGTTTGTACTTCTCCGCATGTTTGGTCTCATAATGTCGATTCAGATTATAATCCTTCAGCACTACAATCTGTTCTCCACAAACTAGGCACACAGCTTTGCCTTTGATTTCAGTAAAGAAATGCTTGGAAGTCTATACCTTCTTAAAAACTCTACATTCCAAATCGATCTTTCTTTTTTTGGTGTTATTTGACATCTTCATGGGCTTAAGCTAACCAACAAACAAATCAGTGCATAATCCTTCTGCAAAGTACAGAAAGTAGGCGCGAAAAAACGTTAATTTAGCAGATCCTTCAAAATAAAAGCAGTGCAGTTATATTGCTTGCATCTATAGTACGACGATATATATTTGTATTGACTTTTAATTTGCCAGTGACCTCATGCGGGCCAGTCAGGGTCAGCCATCGGCCGGATGTGGCCTGCGGGCCGTTCAATGCCCAGGTCTGATCTTGAGAGTATGGCCCTGAGAGCCTTCAAGGAAAATTGGTGGGATATGAATAAAACAAGTACAGAAAATAAATAGAAAACCTAAAATGGGCAAACTCGGAGAAGGGCTGTGGGGACAGTGCAAGGCCCACCGTGCAGTTCAGGGCTAGGAACATACCGTTTTCCCCCAGTCTGGAAAGAGAGGCTCCGTGTCCCCAAGGCCCAAGGTGACTCTGCTCCAGAACTCTTGCACCTTCCCGGAGGAGAAGAGGCCCTCCTAGGTGCCTTGACCGGGCCCAGGACAAGCAGTCAGTGTTGGGCTAACAGTGGGTGCTGCGCTACCAGATTGGGTGGCACATTAGCAAGGAAGGCCAGCACAGTCGCATTGCTTTTCAGGAGAGGATATTTCTCCAAAGTGCAGGGGCAGGTTAAAACAAAGGGGCTTAAACCCCTTCAGAAGGCTTGGCAGTTCCTCCAAGCCACTGTTACAAAAGTTAAACATGGGTGCATAACACAGGTCAGGGAAGGAAGCACCTAGTGCAAGAGGTCACTTCCGGGCATGTTGCCTTTCACAGTCATGGCCTAGAATTGCCTTTGCCTTTTCAGCTGCCACATCAGGCTGCGGATTCCTGCTTAACTTGTTGTCTGCTGAAACTGTGAAATCTTGCGCAAGTGAAGCCTCTACAGGACTGCCCCCTCTTTACAGGCACCTGGATTGGTCTGGGTGTGTTGCATACATGCCTGCTTCCTCTTCCTCTTCCTCCTTATCTTACAAAATGGGGACCAGGAGCGGAAAAGCGGGCCCCACACTTAGGCATTAGCGGTGCCCTCCCAGATGCCTTGGGATGCAGATCCCTGGTGGATGGGGGGTGCTGAGAGTTGTTGCTCAGGGTATCCGGAGACCCCAAGGCTGGGAAATGCTGTTGATGATGTGGATTTTGGGCAGGGCAGGGAACTGCTCCTTGGAGTTCTCAACATGGTTTTTGGGAAGAGGAGAAAGAATGGATGGCGGAGGCTTTTGAGGCTTGCCTACCTCCCTGCTTGGTAGCAGCTGGAGAGAGGTAGTGAGACTGGAGTTTTGATGTGGGGGGGGGGAGTCCCTGGAAGCTCTCCCTGCTGTATGAGGAGTGGGCCCTTGCCTCTGCCCTGAGGCACTTGTTTTTAAAGCTCCTAGCGCACCCCTCTCCCCTGGCAGGCTGCCACAGTTCACCTCCTTATGCAGCCCCCCCCCCCACACACACACAATTTGGGAGGTTTTGCGCCACCGCTGGGACTGGCCCTGCCTGACTTTGGCAAGCTAAGTGTGTGTGCTCTGAAGGTTCACGAGGCTGTTTCAGAACTGGCCGGAGCCCGGGCAGACCATTCCATGGCAGCAGGATGTATGCTTAATGTTAACTTTGGCCCTTGCATTCGCCTTGGGAAGTTCCTCAGAGGACAGGGATATAAGCTTTGGAGCCTGTTTGGATAGAAGCAGATCTAAAGGTAAGCCCACCTGTCACACCTGTTTCCAGTGAGCTTTTCTGAATGTGTAGCAGCTCAAATTTATCCTGTAAATGAGCCTGCCAAAGTTACTGGCCTGCTTTTGTTTTTACTTGCCTGCTGTAGGTTGGCAGAAATGGGATGATACAGCTCAGCCCTTCCTTCAGAAATGTGGGGGGGGCAGTCCCCCCCCCACTGCACTGCGTGCAGAAGCGAGGCGAGGAATGCAGTCCTCCTTCTCCCAGCTCTCTCACTCGCACACCTGTGATTTATGTTTGCCCATGGCAGCCGGGGGAGTCCTTCAATAAAGGCTTCTCTGCTTATTGGGAGAAAAGACACTGTTTCTCTCTTGGCTTCTCTGTCTCCCTTCAACCAACAAAACATGGAGTTGTCCAGCTTGCAAACAAGAAGAATAAAAGAGTTGGTGTGGATCCAACTGTTCTTCTTAGTCGCTGCTCTGGGACGGAGGTGTGCCAGAGCACTGCCAGGTCATTTTAAGGCACGGATGTTGTGGGACTGAACGTTCCGTGAGCCATAGCCAGTTGCACACCTGTTTAAAGGAGAGCCGTTTTATTATTTCGTGTGCCAGGCCTTGGCCCATAAAAGTCTCCTCTGCTTTACATTGATCAGTCTTTGAAGGTGCAACGAAACTTTGTTGTCATTTTCCTGTTCTGTGACCGATCTTTCTGCTACCTTCTGTTTGGCGGAGTTGCAGCACAATGAAGACCATAATCGGATTTGAATGTACTGAGCAGGCAAAGGGGAAGAATTACATGGACTGTGGGGGAAAGTGTGAGCGCATTTGAATGCCTCCCCATGGGAGAGGCTGAACTGACCCAGGATGTAGAAAAATATAATTTCAAGGGGAAAGGGTCACAGTACAGCTTGGTCTGCTTCTTGTACATGTAATACCAGGGGATGTCTTCCTTTTAAAATAAAACAAAGAACAATAAAGTATTGTTTGGAATACTTAATTTGCCTGCTGGGTTTATCTCAGTCTTGCATTTAACAACCTGTTTGGTCACTGACTAAGTAGGTCCATGGGGGAAAAAGGATCCCTCTATTGCCATGCTGCTTTGGGGTGTGTGTGTGTGTGTGTGTGTGTGTGTGTGTGTTGGGGCGGGGGGGCACTAGCCAGCTAAGAAACCAGTAACCTGTGCTTTCATGGTGGTGGCAAGAGTGCTGGGAGCTTTCTGTCATCTACAGTCAGTACGAAATTGCGGGCTGCTGTGACAAAATTTTCTTTTCAAGAGGCTGATCACTTTTGTGGTTCATGTACAACTTTGGCTGGTATTGCTCTATGAATGCTCTTCAGTTTGAATAGTCTTTGGTGGCATATGTACTCATCTTCTTCTGCTCTTCTATCAAATCTTCTATGTGTACCTGAAAAGCATACAAAACTAAAATAACATTCCAGCCAGCCACCATCCCTCCAAGATTGCAAGGGGCTCCTGCCAGTGCTCTGCTTCCTCCAGGTAACAATGTCCAGCCAGCCAAGCTTCATAGGTCTGGCACTTCTGCCATTGTCTTCAGCAAGGAGCGCATGGCATTCTGGCTCTTGCACCGAAAACAGCCTTTTGGAGCAATGGCTGGCTTTCCTGTTGCATTCCTGTCTGATCTTCCTTTTTGCTGCTTGCCTCCAGTTCCGCAGAACAATGAAAAGCTCCAGGAGAGCCCCTGCGTCTTTGCCCTAACGCCAAGGCAAGTGGAGCTGATCAGAAATTCCAGGTATTCCATGAGGCTTCCTTGCTGTTCCTAACCCAGGGTGGGTGGAAAGTTGTTCAGGTCCTGGTAGACTTCTGGATGTCATGCAGAACATTCACAAGCCTTGACACTCAGTAGTTTTGACAAGCTACAGAGAAAGCTTTTCCTTGTTAAAAAGTAATTGCCTCTTCCACAAGTCTGCCTTGTGCAGATGATGATGATGATGATACCACCACCTTCTAGGGCTATAATCCCACCAAAACAGCTCATCACAGTAAAATTCTCTAGTACAGGCTGAGCAGGAGGAGAGGAGCAGGAAAATGGGGTAATTCCACTTGTCCTGTTGAAAGACGCAATTCTTCTTTTGCCCTCTCTGTTCCTTTTCCTCATGGTGATGTGTCCTTACAGATTGTAAGTTTGCAGGCTGGGGCCACATTGTTAAATCAATTGTGTGTAAGCTGCTCCAAGAACCTTTTTGGCTGAGGGGCAGCATAATAAATAAACAAACAAACCAGTATACATTTCATTAAACATCGAATGACAGCATTCCCCTCAGCATCTGATCTAGAGAGTACTAAAAATACTACAACAGCCCCAAACCATTACAGTCCAGTAAACCATAATCAGAGCAGGTTTGCATGGCCGTCCTAAAAGTCCATCCTAATGGGGGACATACATTTCAGCCCATGTGTTCTTCATCTGTAAAATGGGTGTGTTCATTGCTTGCCTTAGTGCACTTCTGACTTTGAAGAGTTTTGTATTATATTCCCTGATGTATACACACCTGAATGTGTGCTTGTGGAAACAGTTTATGGCTCCTACCCAACCAGTCCTGTGCTACCTTGCTAGCTTCTCTTTATCTGAAGGCGCATGTCTCTTGGGCTGGATTTTTACCGTCAGGTTAGATTTTCTCCAATCTGGTGGGATAAAGTCTGGGGTGGGAGGGCAGTAGCTCACACTGGCCCTCCTGGCATTTCTGTGAGGGTGACGCCTCTTTGCTGCAAACATGTCCACCAAGCATTTGTTGTTTGGGGTGCTATACAACTAACCCACTGCAGTTGAGCGATGGCCAGGACTCTGCTGATGGGAAACCAGTCCTTATGGCTGGGGAGACCCCAGGAAGCTTCTCTCTCACCTATCATTACTTACTGCAGAATAAGACTACTTTGCCTTTGTGGTCTAACCAGGCCAGCAAAACCATTATTTCTTTTTAGAGTTCACTGCAAAATGTAGCAGTTGCTTGTAGGTTGTGGCTTGTGGTAAAAGTCTCTTCCCACCCCACTTAAAAGAGAACACTTCACCTGTGGGCTTTTCTTTCCTCGTTTTCATTTGGCAGGGAGCTGCAGCCAGGTGTGCGATCAGTCCAGGTTGTCCTCAGGTAAGCCTGAACAGCTGGGGGTGTCGTAATTAAAGCCCCTGCAACAAAGGGGCTTTAATGACTCTAGAGGTCATGGAGTTGGCTGGAGGGCAATGAGACCAAAGCAATGGTGGGGGCTGAGAGCCTCAGTTCCCTGGGGCTGAGAGCTTTGCTGCAGAACGGTTCCCCGCGTCCCTGGCTGGAGGCCGGGAAGGGCTCCTTCAGCTGGTGGTTGATGCAGCAGTTGCCCCTGGATGTGGGGCGTGGGGCCAGCGGCATGGAGATGCCCTGCAGATGGGGGCAGGAGTGCTTCTCTTCACCTGGCTGCAGGTGGGGCACATAGAGTGGCTTGCCCTCTCCTCGCTCATGCTGGTGGACATGTGGCCCCCTCGCTTTCCCCCACAGAAGTGGGCGGGTGAATTTATGGGGAGCCCCACTGCTCCAGGCTCCTCCACCACCCCCATCCACCTCTGGTGGCCACAGAGCTGTTGTCCATGAGGGTCCCATCTGGGTGGAGTTGGAGATGTGCACTGTCCTCTGGGCTTGCAAGGTTGCTCCAGCGTGCCAGTTCTCCCAGGCACAGGGGCACAGAGTTGCAGGAGCTGCCTGGCTGAGGCAGAGCACTGCAGTCCTTCCCATCCAGTCAAAGGTTCAGTGCATGGATGGGGAAGGCTGAATGGAGGACCATTTCCTCCATGTTTGTTTCATCTCTCCAGAATCTGCTACACAGACACCAGTTGCCCTCAGGAAGACCAGTACCCTCCAAACATTGCCGTAAAAGTGAATCATAGTTACTGTTCTGTCCCGGTAAGTCAACCCGAACATTTGCTCTGAACCTTGGCCCACCAGCGATAGACACTACTGGCTTCAGGGTGCTGCTGGTTGGGCCTTTCCTGGTGTCCCTGAGCATCCCAGCCTAACATTCCTCTCTGTGTTCAAGAAGGTACAGTGTGGCTGGAGAGAATTCTTCCTTCGCGGGTCCTTTTTCTCCCAGGAAGGAGGCAGGAGGTGTCTGTGCCAGGCGCCTCTCTTCTGTCCTAGAACCCACTTTGCAGTTGAAGGATCCTGTTGCCCCTTTCCTCCACTGCCCTTGAGAGTGGTCAGTCTGTGGCAGGGAGGCCCACTGACCTTATCGTGGTCCACTCCTGGAGAGGAGCTGCAGCTGCTGAACTTGCTGATGGGGGGGAAGATCGGCAGTTGCCCATGCAGTGTTACATTCTCGCCTGCGAAGCATCGGAATCAAGAAAGTGGCCCAGAAGCTCAGCTGGTCCAAAATAGGGCAGGGAGGGGTTCTGCAGGGAGTGGCCAATACAAGCCTGTTACATCTGTGTTTCAGTGCCCTGGCATGTCATCTGTTTCTGGGACCAAAAGTACCAGTGTTAACCCAGAAAGCCCTACGTGGCTTGCTCCAGGTACCTGAAGGGTCATCTCCCTCCATATATACCTGTCAGGACCCCAAGATTGTCTTCAGAGGTTCTCCTCTGGGTGCGCTCTAGAGATGTTTGGCCAGCACCTACGCTATACTATTCTTGGTACCTTTCTATTCTCCCAGGGGCTTTAGTCCTCCAGTTCTAAAAAAACAAAAACCTTTGCTAATACATTTCTGGCTTTTGGATAAACTGCTTGGCCTTTACCCTGGTTTTTGCTTTAGCTTCACTTTGTTTTAAATGTGAAGTTTGCATATTATATTTTAGTATGTGCATATTATATTTTAGTATTTCTTGGCTTTACAGGTTTGTATTGTGACCCTCCCAGAGACCTCTGCCTGCTAGTTTCATGGAAATGCCATGAACACCTCCCCACTCTCTCTTTCTAGGGCTATTATCCCTCAAACAAGCCAGGCGTGGAGCCCAAGAGGCCTTGTCGTCCAATCAACCTCACACATCTCATGTACCTGTCTTCTGCAACCAACCGCATCACTGTCATTTGGGGCAATTATGGAAAGGTGCGGAGCAGGTGTGGGTGGGCAGGCAGGAGAAGAGGGACCCCACCTTGGGTAACCCAGGGAGAGTCGCAGGCCTTGGAAAACTCCTCCAAGCTGCTGCTCACAGGTTCCCAGGCCAGCCAGCAGAGTGGGAATGTTTCTGAAGAGATGCGAGGAGCCAGCGAAGGGAAGGGGGGATGGCTGTTGCCTTGCCCAGCCTTGACCCCTTGGCCAGGTGTCAGGAGAGAGGAACTGCCCCATTGGAGGGCTTGCCCTACTCTCACCAGCTGGCCCTTCACATCACACCAGAACTAGGTGTCCAAAGCAGGGATGCAAACTTCAGAGCCAGGGGCAAATTTTCAGCCCCACTGCTTCCTAGTTTTCAGCTGCCCCACAAAATTTTCTCTCCACACCCTTCCTCTAGCCTTTCCCTTTCTCTGCCTGCTACCCCCTGCCTCCCTATTCCCCTTCCTAGCCTCCAGCCTCACTATTTCACCCTACCCTCCCTTTTGGCTACCCAGTCCCCCCCCCCCCCTCGTGTGATTGGCTCCAGCCTCCAGGGAAGCCCTTTTTGGTTTCATCCAAAGCAGTTCCTCAAATGTCCGGATTCTGTCTTGGGGACCCCTGACCTGGAAAGTCCATGTTTAGGCAAATATTAAAGAATGCTCTGTGTGCCTTTTGTCCCCCCACCCCCTGCCTCTGCTCAGAGTTATTCCGTGGGCCTCTTCCTTGTGCGACAGATGACGTCGGCGGAGCTGCTGCAGAGGTTGAAAACGATTGGCATCAAGCACCCTGAGCTGTGCAAGGCGCTCGGTGAGCCTGGTTTCCCCCACTGCGCGTCTGCCTCAGCCCAGTGGGCCTTGGCGGGGCTGCAAGGGAGCCATGCCATCATGGCAGCAGCATAAGGACAGCAAGGGAAGGATGGCTTAGGCTCCAGGAGAAACTTTTGAGCAAGGCTCAGCTGAGAGAGTCTCCTTCCGTAGGGTTTGTTCCCCACCACCCAGGGTGGGTTAAGATATACACGGGGAGGGAAGTACTGTTTCCGGAGATCCGATCTGTTTGCCCCATGTATCTCCTGGTTTGCTGGCATTTGGCTTTGCCTCACTGGCATTACCAAGATGCATGGTGGTCGATGGTGCAGCAACAGGAATGGAGTGGCAGAACGGCTGGAGCAGCCGCTTGGTCAGCTCGAAAAGCACCCTGGAGAAAATAGCGTTGCTCTAGAGCCCAGCTGGCAGTGCCCACCCTTGGCCCCAGTGCACTCATTTTCTCCCAGTGAGTGGGCAGAGAGATGCGCCTGGACATAGGAAAAGGCCCAGGAAGATCTGGGGCAGTTCCACAAAGCCCACGAAGGGACACAAGGGGGCGGGTGTGGTGAAGTCTTCCCCGACTTTAACTGGGAGGCTGGGGTGATACTGGGGCAGCTGCTTTGGGAGTGGGGAATGTTGCTGACCAAGCATCCCCCTGATTTCCCTCTCCTTCCCAAACTGCAGTCAAAGAGAAGTTGCGCCTGGATCCAGAGAGCGAAATCGCCACCACTGGTGTGAGGGTGTCTCTCATATGCCCGGTAAGTGCCGCGTCCAGCATTGAAAGCAGGCAGGAGGGTCCTCGCCGCAAGCAGAGGACTCCTCACAGGCCTCGAGGTGATGCGGCCCTGCTCAACATCAGGTGGCATTCCAGATGGCCAGTTGCTTTCTGCGTTTTCAAGCCTTGCACCCACCTTCCATCGTGACCTGGCCTGACCTGCCAAGTGGAGTCAAAGTCCTTGGACTGTTTTCTCCCCCACTGCCAAGCTGGCCTACAGGCTTGCCAGCTTCCGAGAACAGGGAAGATCACTCAGTGAGGTGGGTTCACCCTGACCCAGCACCGCCCCATCACCGTGGCTGGAAGCTTTTTATCTGCCTTCTGAAATGGTGCCAAAACACATTTTCAGGTTGCAAAAATGAAAGATTTCGTAGTCCTCACATTTGCTTCCAATCCCTCTGTCATCCCATCTCTCTTCTGGGGTTTTGTTTGTAAAATGATTGTATTTGTGCCCCATGCTGCCTCTTGGTACGCGTGTGCTATGAGCCCCTTCCTGGCAGACAGAACCCACTTGCAGAGCCCACCAGGAGGCTGTCCTTGTCTGGTGCCAGGGGTGGGCAGAGCTCAATATGTTGCAGACTTCTGCACCTGGCATCCACTGCCTCTGGCTGGGCAGGTATGCTAGCCTCAGGAGCCCCAAACACCTGAAGCTCAACTCCCTGGCTCCCTGTGCCTACAGAAAGCAAATGCCAAGAGCTGCCCTAGACTCTGCCGCTGGACCATTCCGCAGCCCCAGGACATCAGAAGAGCCAAGGGTCTCTCTTGCAGCACATTCTGTCTCTGCAGGATCCCACCCATGGGACACAAGTGCAGCAACATCCCTGCCCCAACTTCTGTTCCTCAGCAGCCTGGATTCTGGCTCCCCCTGTCGGCAGCTAGTGCTAATTGCATTTGCTTGCCAGCTGACAGTCTTAAAATCAAGTGCAAATACATAAATGAATTTAGGAAAGTGGTTTTTAAAGAAATCAGAAAAATATTGAATATAAACATTGAAGCAGACCCTGGAACAGTATTATCGTCATTATTTAGAAAACAAGTGGGAGAAAATATTAAGAATTGATGGCACATTTATTAACAGCAGTAAGATTAAAAATAGCAAGGAATTGAGAAGTAAAAGGTGATTATCAAATTGATGACTGGAAAAAGAAGTTTGGAATATAGTTATTAATGATAACTTGCAATAGTAAGTGGAAAAAAGGTTTGATGAGTAAAAATAATTTTGAAAATATTTGGAGACTGTTTTTTGAATATGCCTTAATAAAAGGAAAGGGATGTGAACCATCACAAGAGTCAATGCAGTTCTGGAAGGGAAGTGGGAGTGGAGCAGCTGGAATGAATACATGATTTTACATTGTTGAGTATGATTTGTTGGTCCTGGTAGAGCTAGCAGTATTTTGTATTGTTTGTTTAATTATGTTTATTACTATTATATTGATTGTATTGTTTGTTTAATTAATAAAAAGTAGAAAAAGGAAGAAAGTCTTAAAATCAGACAACATCCACCACAGCAGAATAACCAAAATGAAATAAATAAAAGTAATAATTTGGCATTTATAATAATTGCAGCACAATCTTTGAGTAGCTCAGTATAAAATTAAAGTAGCAGGTCAAAGTTTAGATGCCTGCCTAATAAGGAAACTTTTAGTATGGTGTCTAAACATGTTCAGTGGGGGTGCTGGATGGATATCCCTGGGAAGGGCATTCCACAGCGCCCCAAGGGAAGGCTGTGCCTGGGGTGCTTAGGGCTTCAGTGATGCAGCATTGCTTTGAAACTGAAAAGGCTGCAAGGTCGACCAGCAGCCAGCAGGACTGAGTCATCACGGCCAGACCCAGTGACCAGCCTCGCTGCTCAGCTCTGCACCAAACAAAGGTCTCCGCTGTCTTCAGTGGCAGCCCCATGCAGAGTGCAGCCAGTTGCCAGGGTGGGAGGCTACCAGTGCAAAGAAGCCCATAGCCGTGTTATCGCCGACCTAGCCCAACCCCCATGAATTCTCTTTCTTCCCCAGCTGGTGAAAATGCGTCTGTCGGTGCCATGTCGGGCTGAGACCTGTGCCCACCTGCAGTGCTTCGATGCTGTCTTCTACCTGCAGATGAACGAGAAGAAGCCCACGTGGATGTGTCCAGTGTGTGACAAACCGGCCACTTACGACCAGCTTATGATTGACGGGTGAGTCAAGCCCTGAGCAGAAGCCTCTCCGCGGGTCTTCCTGGCCTGCCCTGCAGGCAGCAGCTTCATGTTGAGGCTGCACCTCTGGGGCTGAGCCTCAGGAGAGCTGTGTGAACTTAACAAGTGCCGTGCTGGATCGGAGCAGGTCCCCCTCATCTGGCTTCTGCTTACCCTGTGGCCAACCTGCTGCTCCCAGGGATCTTACAAACATCGCCCTGCCACCCGAGTTCCCCAGCAGCCTTCATACAGAAGCACACTGCCTCTGCCACTGGACTAGGAACCACTTGGGCAGCCCCCTTTTAAAGGTGGCCAAAGGGGTGGTCCTCGCTGCATCTCGCCGAAAGGAACTTCACCATTTCGGCCCTGCGCTGTGTGAAGAAGTCCTTCCTCTGATCTGTCCTGAGTCTCCCACCCCTTGGCTTCCTGGGGGTGACCCCGCTGGGTTCTAGGATTATGAGAGAGAAGAACACCTCCCTGTCCACATGTTGCACCCTGTCTTCACAGAGGAGTTGCTCCAGCCCCGTATCCAAGGGTGGCCCTTTACCTCGCATGTCCATCTTCTGGTGTAGGGCAATGTGAGGTAGGCAGGTGATGGGGCAGTGGAGGGTTGCCCACCCATGGTTTCACGCATTCATTTTATCTCTTTTCTTTAGGGAAAAAAGCCTTTCCACAACACAAAGGTTCTTATTGCCAAGGAAACAGTGCCATCTTTGGTAGCATTAACTCCTCTATTATTATGCCCTTGAGCAGGCAGTGTGGATTTCTTTGTTCTCATTTCCACACTTCTCTGGGCAGTTCCCACACAAGAAAACCCTAAAATACAGTATGATGAACCGTACCATAAAGCCTGTAAAGTGGAATAGAAGCAGTGTTAAAACAGCAGAATGAAAAGATCTAAAATAAACAAGACATTTTAAAACAAAACCGAAGAAAAGAATGCTTTCGGCTGGTGTGGAAGACTGCAGGGCAGGTGCCAGATGAACCTGCCTGGGAAGGGCACTCCTTCCCCAAGGTGTCACCGCAGAAACGGCCTGCTGCTTAAGTGATTCTCCCTGACCTGACGTGCAGGCTCTCTCCTGGAAGGCCTGAACTCAGGATTGCTGAACAGGACTGCGGAACACCCTCAGGACCTATATCCCAGGGTGCGATATATGCAGGACTGGCAAGCGAGACTTTGCCGAGGGTGACACTCAGGGTTGGGGATCTCTGCCTGCCTGGATTTCAGAGGGAGGCGGGCAAGCTTGGCACAACTCGAGCGCAGGCCTGGGTGGCTGGGCACATGGAGGAAGCATCCCCTGCAGCCGCCGCTGCCTCAAGGTGAACTTGCTGGCTTGCGCGGGCGAAGCTGAGACCCACAAGAGTGGCTGCCCATTCACTGACCCGAGCAGCGACATGCGCTCGTGTGCTTCTCAAACCCGCCACGAGGAGCAGCCATTCGCAAACTCAGAAAGCTGCCATTTGTTCTCTCTCCAGGCTCCTGTCAAAGATCTTGACAGAATGCGAGGATGCTGATGAGATTGAATACCTGGTGGACGGCTCTTGGTGTCCCATCAAAGCGGAGAAAGAGAGAAGTTACAGCCCGCAGTGTCCAATATTAGTCGGCAGTGGATCTGCCACAGGTGAGTCTGAGCATGCAGAAAGGCACAGGCACTTGCCCTGCTCTAAGCCCGACCCCAGCCCACCTGGGCCAGGGGTGGGTGGTGGCTCTCCAGGCCACCGGAAGGATTCCTCACTGGCCCTCTCTAGCTTGGACCCCCCACCGTGGTCCCTCTTGTAAAGATGAGGGATCAGCTCACTGGCATGCTCCTAGGTGAGTTGGGACAGATCGAGAGCCGTCTGTCCCCTTTCTGCTTCGCCCGTGAACCACAGTGCAGGGAAGGGCTTCACCGATGTTCCTCCCTGCCTTGGGCCTGCAGCATCTGGCCAGGCTTGCAAGCCGCCGTGTCAGAGGTGGCGAACGGGCAGAGCCTCTGTTGCTGCTCAGCCAATGCAGGGGCGATGGGATGGGGAGAGCACGGCTTTGCATCACTTCCTGTGTGGTGGGGAAGCTGGAATTCAGAGGCCAGGCTTAGCGAATCAGTCCTCCAGTAGATTCCAGAGCCTGGGGATTTCCCGTGACACCTCCTGATGTGATGTTGCTCCGGGGGAAGATGGGCTTTGGCAGGACCCCAAGGCTCTCCCATTGCATGGGGTGAGCCACAGCCCTTCTTTCTTTTAGGTTGCTTGCAGACTCTTCTAGGATGGGGATGGGGAGAATTCCAGTCGAACATGTTCCAGCAACTCACTTCAAACAGGGTCTGCAAACTGCGAGTCCTGTTGCTAGCTTGGGCATATGCCAGTAATGTTTCGAAAGTACTCTTAGTCCATAATAATAATATTAGCAGTAATAATAATAAATTCTCAAACATTTTTATTAACTTAAAGGTGTGGTCCTATTCATGTGTGTAGCTAGAAGAAGCCCCACAACTCCCAGTGTTCCCCAGTCGGCTTTATAAATTGAAAGTGCCTCAGGCTGCACCTGACAGTCTGAAATCAAGTTGACCCACAAAGAGTGTCAGGCGTGGATGGATTTGAGAACGCCAGTCTTTCACTTTTCCACCCCTTGCTTATCTTTTTATTCCTCCCGTCTGTCCCTCTCTCCCTGCTCTCATCACGCCTTTCTAGGGGGAACCTCTGACATCAATGGGGCGTTACCCTCAACCCCCAGTGTGGAAAACGGCAAGGCTCCTGCTGACGTGGTGGACTTAACACTGGACAGCTCATCCTCTGAGGAGGAGGAGGAGGAGGAGGAGGAGGAGGAGGAGGACGGCGGGCCCAAAAGGAAAGTGCCCCGCGTATACAAGAACGGCTTGGCTTCTGCCTGCTGACTGCAGGGGGCACACCAGAACCTCCGAGTGGAAAAGCTTGAATACCTTGGTGCTTACTCAGATCTGGGAAGAGGGGCTTTTTCTCCCTGCCCAGTTCCCTCTGCCCTTCAGTCTCGTCCCTGATAGCTTCCCTTTGACTTCCCAGTTTCAAGTTAAGACTTTGGGAAAAGACCCGTGGGGGGAAAGGGGCGGCACTGTTCCATGGCTGGAAGAAATCCACCTGGCGAAACGATCTCCAGCGCTCTTGGCCTCCAGCTCAGCTTGAACTGCCTTGGGAAGCTGGGGAGCATCCCCCTCTCACACACGCAGCCTGTTGGGAGTTTGCCACTGACCCAGTTTCCCCTCCTTGCTCCCCTTTCCTCCCTCCCCCATCTCTTTCTCCCCAGATGCTTTTTGGATAGCCCAAAGCTGGCTGGCTGGAGCTTGTCCAGGTACGGGTGGGTTGTCTGAACTTTCACAGGCCTCCAAAGTTGTGTGCGTCTTTCCAGTTCTTTGCCTTGTTCAACATCTGTTCCCAACACAAGCGCACAGCCTTCCCTTTCTCTCTCTCCCTCTCTCTCTCCCCACTCCCTTTGCTGGACATTTTGAGTACGAGATGCTTTCCTCACCAGTTGGGCTGAGAGGTTTCTAGAACATGGCAAGATTCCCAGTGTGTCTGCCCCACCTCCGTTCCATAGGCACGTAAGGTAATTGTGGGGTGGGGGTACAGGAAGGGCAAAGACGGTATAAAGCCAGCTTGACTTAGACATGCTTGGCTTGTTTCCAGCTCCGAGAGAACCTCATGTAAAGAAAAGATGGGAACTCCTTTTTTTACCCTGTTCCGAAATTAATGTAGAATGCTAGCATAGTGTTTCCCCCTCCTGTGTTCTTTTCTTTTTTAAGTTGAACAGAAGCCATTGCAGGGGGCGTGGGTGGGAGGGGGTGGGCAGAAATAGGGGGCTGTTGGAAATGCGGGAAGGACTCACCCACAAGTCTTTCAGTTTTTTTTTTTTTTTTTGAAGTGCAATAATTGGTGTGTTTTGGAAGATGGAAAAGGCTGCATGTTCCCCACTTCCACCAAAGGCTTCATCTTGAGCCAGGCGTGTCAGGGAACGGAATGGCTTTTTCCTTTTGTGGGGTGGGGTGGCAGCGGGGGGGGGGGGGGAGGGGAGGGAGGGTGGGGCTTCCCGAAAAAAAAAAAGCAAGGGGGGGGGAATCCCCCCCCCCCCCCAGTTTCTAGCCAACTACCTCGGTTAAAAAAAAAAAAGAATTCAGGTGTCAGTCAGTCACGGAAACAGTGCGGGGTGGGGGCAGCATGCGAGTGACTGTCTTGTGTTCGGTTGCCTCTGGACTCTCAACGGCTTTGATACTTCTGTGTCCCATAGTGCGTGTGCTTGTGTATTTGTGGACCCTTTAAAGAGATGCCCCTCTCCTCAGCTTGGCCTCGGATGACTTGCCCCGTGTCTGCTTGGGACTGTTCTGCCTGTGGGGGAGATCAAGCTCACCCCACTAAGCCCCACTTCAAAGGGATGCTGCCAAGCAAGCCTACAGTAACCCACAACGGATGTCCAAGGAGAAACGTGAAGATGGGAGGAATGGATGGGGTTCGGTTGGTCCAATGACCAGACAAATGTGATGTGAACTGTGCCTCATGGGCTCTGGTTGCATCCTCCTCGAAGCTGAATTGGACAAAGATTCTGGTGTGTTCTGGTTCTTCTTTCTCCTTCCTTTCCCCACCTTTTCTCTTTCTTGACTTCTGCTGTGTCCATTCCTCCTCCTCCAGTTCAGTTGCAGCAGGAAACATGGAACAATGTATAATCCTGCATTTCTCCCATTGCAAAAATCACACCTGGGCTGCTGCCTCCTCTTGTGATATGGTAGAGAATGCCTGCCCTCCATTAAAAACCCAAACCGCTGGTTCTTCTCCGGGTGCTGCAAACAACATGGGACAGGTTGAGAACCTTTCGAAAATTCAGATGTGTGACTTCTGACTGTTTCTAAGCCTGAGAAGCTGGATCTGCATCCTGCATAGAGAGACTGTGGACCACGTGGAGGAGACAAGAAGCACTTGTACGCTTAGCTGAGTTGGGTCAAATCCTTCCTGTATCCTCACTCGGCTTTTCCTTCCTCCCTCTCTCCCACACCACTCCAAAACTTTTGGGGGACTTTCACACAGCCCTTACGATAAGCAGCACCAAGCAGATAGCCAGGTTTTCTCTCTTGTTCCCACTGCCCCCAAACTCTTCTGGAAATCTCGATGGGCAAGATTTTGCCCATCTGGACCCATCTTGGATCTTCTGCCCCATCTCCTCCCCCCATTGCTATGCTCCAGTCAGCCATCTCAGAGTTAAGCAATACATGTGCAGTTTTTTAAAGACACACACAAACCAGCCAAGTTCACATGCTTTCAAAGTTTGGACTGAACATTTCCAGTACAGATGGCAGTTTGTCTCTCCAGCCCGGCAGTAGCGTTTGGGAGCTCCCCATCCATGCTTTCATTCCCTCAATATTTGTATTCTAATTTAATTGCCTGTATAATGTCTTTGACTTACCCTGCCCCTCCTGCCCATCCACCCAAGCTACTGCATCCTGAGACATGGCCTTCATCCCTCTTGTCTTCCCCCCACCCCTGCCCAACCCTGGCTGGTCAGCTCTCCATTCTGTACATAAGTTTTTACTTACGTAGACCCTTGTCTTTGCTGCTGCTTGTTTTTCCTTCTCTCTCTCTCTCTTTTTGTAAAGAGAAATTATTTTTCTTTCCTTCAATACACATTCTTCAAGACTCAAGATTATAGTGTTTGTTAAATAAAATATTTCAGTTTTAGTTTGTCTTGTGTCGAGTCCTGTTGAACCCCAGGGGCCAGCCAAGGCCTTACACTCAAGATCTGAGAATGCTTAAGATGTGAGACCACCTGTGCCAGAGATGAGATGCATTTGATTGACTAGGATGCAGGGTTCAAACGAGGGAAAGAGAGCTTATATCTACCTTCTCTGTGGCTGTGCCAGATCCCTGAATAGGCCAGGGGTGTCCTCCAATGTCCCCTGGGTTCTCGGGCAGAGAGCAGAGGACAGCTCGTCCTGCCATATATACTGTTTCCCTCTCCTGAGTTTGGCAGCATGCAAAAGCTGTAACCCCACTTTCCTGAAAGAGGGCAGGGTGAGGTGAAAAGTTTCAGTTCTCACAGCAGAAGCAGCTTTTATCTAAGGAATACTGGGAGGAAACAGCTTCAAGGCAATTATCTCTGGTGCTCTTCCTGACAAGCTGAAGGCCATAAGGTAGGCACACCTTTGAGAAACTATCCTGACCTTTGGACACAGTGGTGTTTACTACACTGCCTGTTGAACCTTGCCCTTGCCTTATTTCTGATGGAGCCCATCCTTATATAAGAGTTGGGCTTGTGCATTACCTATTTGATTCTGGATGTGTTCATAAAGGTTCCATCTGGTCCAGTGCCTTGTCTCTGGTGGAGAACAGCCCAGGAAAGCACACAAGCTGTTGAGTTCAATGGAAGACACAAAGCAATCCTTTGCTGTGCAAGATCAAAGCAAGGGTCCCACTTCCACAGCTATCTGTTCACAAGAGGCAGTACAGTGGACAAAGTAAGGCACACAAAGGATGATGTTCCTCTTCTGAATGGGGGCAGGCATAAAATAGATCTCCTGATCTTTTGGGCTTCTCCCACAATTGATGCTTTTTGGCCGTAATTGTAGGGTCTCTGGGGAGCTGAAATTCAGACCAGCTTGAGATCCATTTTCTGCCCACCCCCCCAGCACCACCTTAAGGAATACTCGGTTGAAAGGAGTAGGAATTTTGCCCATTGTTTCTGTGTTTGGCAAATGCTTTGAATCACCTGCAAAAATTTCAGAGAAAGAGTACGTTGGAAACAGGCATTTTGTTTATTGTGGTATTTGGTTTGCAGCACTAGGCTTCCATTCTCCAGTTCAGAGGATGGGGAGATTCTTCGGGGCACCTGGCAGAACAGGTGGTTTCATCTGGGTTGTGGGTTTTTTCTGGCCTTTGGGACCAGTAGCCACTTCTTCCATAGCTGGCTCCTTTAGACTCCTCTCCATTACTCTGCATCCTGGCAAATTCTACAACCCAGTAGTAACTTCTTGAGCATTTTGCATGTAAATGCACCCAGACTAGCTTGGGTTGTGGGGGTAGTTGGAGCAGAGGCATGGAACTTCAAGTCGAGTTCCCACCTGAATTTTTGCAAATGGCCATGTCACTTCCCCACAACCACCGATTGTCCAACCACTTTCTAATTTTGACCCAATTCTAAAAGTTTGAAATGCCTTTCTCAAGACTTGGCTACAAGCGCTAAGGGCTTGAAGCTACAGTTTACTGCATTGGGTATGTCTCTTAAAATTGCTTCTGTTTTCCTGTGCCTCTCCAGGAATGTGGTCGCTGAAAGCTGCTCTGAAGTTGTCTGGCTCTCCACCCATTTTGGAGGGGAAGGATGTGAGTGTGGGCATGTTTTGCACATCACCATGTGGTCAGTCCACAGCCACAAGGGTCCTTCAAGGTTGTCAGAAGCCAACTCAGCGTTTTGCTCCTCTGGGCAAAGGGTTGGGCAGCAACAAGGCTGCACCATTTCCATGTATGTACAAGTGCTAGATGGCAGGCCATTGGCACATGTACACCAGTCTGCCAGTCCTGTGCCACTTCTCCCTCTTCCTGGCCCCAGCCTGCCACCATTTCATCCTTAACAGTCGGACTGCCCATTTCTTGGTCACACAAGAGTGTGATGGATTGTCAGCAACTTAACCTCATCTTGTGGATTGCACGTGACATCTCTGGAGAGGTGCAGCTGTTGCACTTAGTTCTTTTCTCTCGATGGCTGGATTCAGACAACCCCATAATCCACATGTGAAGGCTTGGTTGGTTGCTGAAATAGAGGATCTTGTGTTGTTTGAATCCAGGGACACTACTGAGTCACAGCTTGTTAACCTTGAAAGAACTCAAGTTGGGTTGTGAACTGGATTGTTTACTATGGTTTCTTCCCTTGGCCTGTTTCAGGCAAACACATTTCAACAAGCAGCCCAAGACAGGCCTTTTTATTCCTAAAGATGCATAGGATTACACCACTAATGTAGCAATCTGCCCTGGGAAGTAATCTTCCCTGAAAAGTGGCCTAGGAACATCTTGTATGAGGATGGCCAGTGTGGTGTAGCTGTAAACATGTTGAACTGGGACAAGGGTGATCAGTTTAAGTGGCCACTTAACTGCAAAGCTTGTCGAGACATTTGGGGCCAGTCACTGATTCTCAGCTTAACCCACCTCGCAGGGTTTTTGGGAGAATAAAATTGAGAGGAGGAAGATTAGATAATTTGCCTTGAGTTCCTTGCCTGAGTAAGAAGGCAGAACATACACATAACGAACAAATAAAAATGGCTACAGCATACAATGCTCTTATTTTTATCAATGTTATTGTGTTTGCCTATGAAGCAAAGCACATGCGGCTGACGCTTTTGGGCACGCTCCCCAACCAAATCCCCAGCTGTAAACGTGGTTGCAACACGTGCGCCCGCTTCCGCGTCGACTGGAAAGAAGATGAAAAATACCCTCCGCGCAAGCGTAAACTCCAAGCGAGTCCCCCCTCCCTTTACCGCCGGTGGACCATAGAGTCGCGCAGAAAGGGAGAGCGAAGCCGGTCCGCTTGGGCGCATGCGGCCCGAACACCCAACTAAGCCACGCCCCCTCCACCCCGCCCTAGCCGGCTCCGCCCTATAAAGTGCGGCCCATTGACGTCAGCGGCCTCTTCCGCCCGCTCGGCCCCTGCCAACGAGACAGGGTAGCCGGAGCTGCTGCCGCCATTGTTGCCCGGCTTTTACTTTAACCCCGTTCCTTTCCTTGCGGAGAATCCGACGCCATCCGCCACCATGGTAAGTCCGCCGAGGCCGGGGTTGGTCGGGGGGTGAGTAGGGGCCCGAGAGCGTCGCGGAGCGGTGGATATGGCTGGGCTTTAGAGCCCGAACTAGGCCTCGGACGGACGTCAGGCCCGGGGTGGAGGTTGAGGCCTCACTTGGAAGGGAAGGAGGGACGGTTGGCTGGTACCTGCAAGAGCACCTGGCTGGGAGAGGGGGAGGCCAACTTGGCCTGGTATCTTCCTTTGTCCAAGCGACTTGCTTTACCTTGCGCTGGCCAGGTGAGTGGATTCTAGCTCCCGTAAGCCAACATGGCTGCGGAGAATGGAGGCTATCGTGCAAACAGCTGAAATTTGCTTTCTCCAGCCTTCCCCAGCTTGAGGCTTGGAAGGTGTGCTGAATCCCAGCCTCTGTCAACCGTTGCCAGATGGCCTGAGGTCTCTGGGGTGGGAGGCTGATGGGGGTTGTAGTTCAGAGTATCAAGCGATTGAAGGTTTGGGGAAGCATATGTTTAAGGGCCGCCTGTGCCACATATATCCTGTTTGCGCCATCCACAGGAAATGCGTCTGGGTTGGGTGGGGGTGGTCCCGACAGGGAGGCAGGGTAGATGCCGTGTCTAAGTCTTTTCAAAAATCCTTTTTCGGGGTTTGAGGTGTTCGGGCTCTCTCGTAATTCTTGTGGATCTTGCAAGGGTTGCCATCCACTGAAAACGTGCAGTAAGGAGAAAGAAGTAAGGAGCAGACCGACCTGAATTTTTTTCTGCCGTGTCCCAAGTTTATTTACTGTTTTGACTCAATAAAAGTAGGTTTTCTTGGTGAATAGAAATGGGGATATGTCCTTTTGTATTGTCAGCATCTTTCAATAAAATACAGTGTTCTGCAATAAAACAGAGTTGTTCATTATGCCCTTTCTGTATCAGGTAGGCTTTCCTTCTTTCCTTTTTTTGGCTTTGTGAATGAGCTTATGTAACAATGGAAGAGGTAATAGAGGTTGTGTAGGGGGTAGCCCTGTCCCAGCCTCTAGTAGGTTTTGTGGAACCTTGGTTAATCTGCTATGGATTTGGCTTCCCTCTGGACACAGTATACCTCTGCATCTCCATGGGGACGATATTGCTAGGAGATAATCACTCAGAATCGCACACACTTAACACTGAAATCACACTTAAAGGCTGTGAAGGAGGCCCAACATGTCTGCCCTGGAAGAATGGGGTGTGAAGTGATATGGCAGAAGGGCTACTAGTGCGCAGTGGATGCTGGGCAACTTCCACCAGAGGGATGTTCTGTCAGCCAGAGGGATGCAAAGCGATCATATTTTCCCCTTGTGTAAAAAAATCATCTTATGTAACTCTGCAGTCTTTGGGGAGAAGCATTGGGAACCTGAGAAACAGTCTCCATCCTAGCTCCAGCAAAAGCCAGTGACTTTGTAACCAGGCAGTCTGTCTGAAATGAGGGGCTTTTCAATGAATAAAACTTTTTTAGCATTGTGAGATGAGTTCTTTCATTTTGTATTTGTTTCGGTTCTTTTACATTTCTGTCAGTTGGTCTGTGCTGCTTGTAATGTGGGGTTAGGGTAAGAGCTGCTTGGTCTTTCCTTTGAACTGAAAATCATCTGAGTTCCACAAAGCAGGTGGGCTGGGAGAAGATGAGAAAAACATGTTACGCTAATATTCCGCTAACTTAGAAATGCAGCATTTCTGCAGCCTTAGGCAGAGCCCCCAGAATTTCCACAGGAAGTTACACAGGAATGTGCCCTTGACCAATATCTTCCATTTTTTGTAATCTGCTGGGGTTTTCTGTGGTTGCCTCATAGTGTCTTACATGCCCAGTTCGCACATGGAAAAAGATGGCACTTGACTGGGTGTAGAAGCTGCTCTCTTCCATGACAGGCTGATGTCAAATAGCAGTCACTGTCACAGATTTCTTGAGCAAAACAAGGGAATAATCTAACCTCATTTCTTTGCAGAAATGAGGTAGAACCCTTCCTGGTCTGCCACTAAGTGGAGTTGTGTCTCTTCCCTAGTATGTTACTATCTTTTGCATTTGTGTACTGTCCCATAGTCCATGGGACTTTCTGGGTGGTTTACAGATTTTTTTTAAAAAATGCTGTAAAACAGTACAAAATAATAAACCAATTTAAACCAAATCATTAGTCAGTACTTAGCTTTTACTATTACCACCTGAGCCTCCCCACCTCACGTAAGGGCAATTTTTTCTAGGTGCCACATCTGACATTTCAGAGTAAACAGAACCAGTCAAAAGGGCATTGCAGGACAACCAATGCAGAAAACACCCAGCAGACTTCTTAACAAATGGAGCATAGATGGCTAGCAGTGCACAGTCATCTAGCTAGATCACCATATACTTGAGACTTCCAACTCACAGCATCCTTGGCCATCTTGGCAGGTCCTTCTGAGAGCTGCAGTTAAAAACATCTAGAGAGCCACCTTCTGCACTCCTCAATTTGCTGCACCCCATGGCCCCCAGACTCTGTTAACTATTGATCAGGAGTTCTAATACTGAACTGCTAAGCATTTCCCTCCCCACACACGTGATTCATGAACACTTTTTGACAGATTGAGGTTGCTGTTAATCAGGACCTGGAACTGAGGGTTGCAGGTTTCTTATTTGGAGAGCCATCAGCCCAGTTCAGCATAAACCCTGATGTTATTCCTTTCACAAACAACTATCAAGAAAACAGCATTGCAACTTAGTCACTTGAAAGTTTGTACTTGTGAACCAGTCACGTTACATTGCCTTTCCCCTGCACTGATAGGTGAATTTCACCGTAGACCAAATCCGGGCCATCATGGACAAAAAGGCCAATATCCGGAACATGTCTGTAATTGCCCATGTGGATCATGGGAAATCAACCCTGACAGATTCGCTGGTGTGCAAAGCTGGAATTATTGCCTCAGCCCGTGCTGGTGAGACTCGTTTCACTGACACGAGGAAAGATGAGCAGGAGAGGTGCATCACCATCAAATCCACGTGAGTTCCTTCTGTTGGGTCTGGTTTTTTTGGAAAAGAAATGATCAAAGCTGAGGGAGGGCCTCTTCAGGTACAGCGGGGAGACATATGTGTCATGTTCGCATGCTAATCAGCAGCACCTGAAGAGGACTAACCCTCCACAGGATCATGCCCCAGGAGTCTGTCAGCTGCTCACACACAGTACTAGAAAGCTGAAGGCTTTGGGCAGAGGAGGGAGCTTGCTCCAGTGTTGTTTCCCATTTGCTCCTTCATCTGAGCATGAAAAACGGCACTCTTCAGCAAGCCTTGCTCGTCTCTGCCAAAGCTGCTCATTCAACTCTGCCAGGGTGAAACTTGTCTTGGTTGTTAAACTTTATGAAGAACACCCCTTCTATGCATGGCAGTGTGGAACTGCTGCTTCATCACTTTTTTCAAACATTACATTAGGCTCCCCTCCAGAAACAGGCAGCATTGGTTTAGTCCTGGTATTTGAAGGACAGCTGCAGGTTCCCATTAATGCTGAACCCAGTAGTTAACTCCCCAGCAATACTGAGTTCTAGCAGCAGTGTGAGTTGGGGGCATGTGCCTTTGCTGAGAGTTGGGACTATCCCTCAGCTGAAGAACAGGATTCTCTTTAGTAAAAAGGCTATCCTGGGGCCTTTGTTCCCTGAGGAAGCCAGTCTGTATAAGTGGGCTGAGCAGCTGAGTGTGCAAGGTTTATGCTATTGCCTCCTCCAGGGCCATCTCTCTGTTCTATGAACTTTCGGAGAATGACTTGGCGTTCATCAAGCAGAGCAAGGATGGCTGTGGCTTCCTGATCAACTTGATTGACTCTCCAGGCCATGTGGATTTCTCTTCGGAGGTCACAGCTGCCCTGCGTGTCACCGACGGTGCCCTGGTGGTTGTGGACTGTGTTTCTGGTGAGGTGCCCCCTTTGTCTTGGGATCCAATGGTGAGGCAGTATGCTGGCCCCATTCCAAGGGCAATCTGCCTGATGGGCTTGCAGAGCTGCAGGCAGGAGACGGGGAAGCTTTCATGACCCTAGACAGAGCAAGATCCTGCGCATGCCGTCTTTCCCTGAAGTTGGAATATTAATGTCCCCAGCACATGAGTCACTGGCTCTCCACTCGCTGCTCCCCAAATGTACTGAGCCAGGTTTGCCTCTCCGTTTCCGCAGGGGTGTGCGTCCAGACAGAGACCGTTCTCCGCCAGGCCATAGCTGAGAGAATCAAGCCTGTCCTGATGATGAACAAGATGGACCGTGCTTTGCTGGAGCTGCAACTGCAACCGGAGGAGCTGTACCAGACCTTCCAGCGCATTGTGGAGAACGTCAATGTTATAATCTCTACCTACGGGGAAGGCGAGTGCGGCCCCATGGGCAACATCATGGTAAGTGAGGTGGGGGGGGTGGTAGGGACTTACCAGCTGGCTTCTGGTTTCCTCCCACAAAGAGCCTGTGCTTTTTGCATTTTCATTAGGCTTATTAGCTCCAGTAAGGCTCTGAGAGTGGCTTACAGTCAGTCGGGAAAAGAAGGCAGCCTGTGACTGTAGGCCTTATATTTTAAAAGCAAGTTACAGCCTGTGAGCCCAAAGAGCTGGGGGAGGGGAAGTGCTTTAACAGGGATGGTAGAATGGCTCTGCCTTCCCTTCATCTCTTGGTAGAGAGCTACTCCTACTTTTGTTCCTTTTGCCTGCTTCTGTCCTCTTTGTTACCTTCCACTCACAGGCCTGTTGGGGTGAGTCTGTGTCTTGAATTCATGATTTTCCCAACTGGGGAGCTGGGGGAATGCTGGAGCAAAGCCCCAGAATGATCAGATGTTGGGAGCCCAAACATGCCTGAGACCATGACGCATTGCCTCTCTTGGCCTTTCAGATTGATCCAGTTTTGGGCACTGTTGGTTTTGGTTCTGGCTTGCATGGTTGGGCTTTCACCCTGAAGCAGTTTGCTGAGATGTACGTGACCAAGTTTGCAGCAAAAGGTGAAGGGCAGTTGAACCCAGCTGAACGAGCCAAGAAAGTGGAGGATATGATGAAGAAGCTGTGGGGAGACAGGTGAGTGTCCTGGACAGAATCCAGCATCAAAGAGGACACTGAGCATACTTCCCTGCCAGTTCTGGATGAGATGTTGACGGGAGTTGAGAACAAAGTTTGATCATCCAGGAGTTTCCAAATGTGCTGATTGGTAGTGTGGCACATTTTATAGTTGCAAGGTGGGCTGCCCTGGTCTCCCTCAGCCCGAGACCCATCCAGCAGGTCAGGAATCCTGGCAGGACTGAGAAGGCATTAGCTTGGAAAGAGCTGTAATATCACTTGCCCTGTGAATTGAAATATGTGCTAATGATGGTAGTAAGTTTGTTTCGTTGACATCAGAATTATTGCAGACCAGAAAGGTTGACCACAACTGATGGCAAGCCTGAGTTCTCTCCCTGGGAACCCACCTGCAGCTTCTCTGGGGCTTGCCTAGTCTGTGCACCTCCAAACTTTCATCTGTCCGTACTGGGGCAGTGAGATGGGAGGCAAGCCGTGACTTGCGCTGTGGGCTCACGGTCAAATCCAAGTATACCAGCATGTGCCTAAGCACAGAGTGTCCCTCTGAGGCCAACATGGGGAAGTGTGTTCATGCAACTCATGCATGGGAAACTGACCGTCACGGGGCAGTAGCACAAGCCACGCTGTGATTAGTGCCTTCTCGTACACCAGGTCTCTTTTTCCATGGGCAGAATAACCAGGGGCTTTGGGCAGAGGGGTGGAGAATGCCTTTCATTTTGAAGGCCGAAACTTGCATAAGCCTTCAAGTCCTGCACTTCAGTGATAGAGGTGTTGGGCCCAAACCCTTAAACTCCAGCGTATTTCAGCTTCTATCTCTTTCTCCTGGTAAGTGGGGGGAGGGGGCATTTCACACATTTAGAACTTGGTTTTTTGTCATTTTCTGCATTTCTATACCACCTAATAGCCAATGCTTACAAAGATTAAAATCCTAAAATATGTTATAAAAACCATATACACATAGATATTCAACATGAAGAGAAATAAGGATTTAAACAAAATAAAGGCAAGTCTTGATGAGAAATCTCATGTGCTTCCCAAATGCCAGAGAGGAAAAGAGTTTAAGGTTGTGCCAAAAAGATAATGTTGATGTCAGGTGGGCCTTGTTGAGATTATTTGGAAACCAATGGTCTCATGGTTATTACCTTCCTCACATAAATGGGGGAGGGAACTGCATGGAAACTGGAAAAGCACCAGTTAGTGGTTGGGTGCAAAGGGCTTGTGCTCTGGAGAAGGCCAGGGCTAGAGGGTTGTAAGTGCCAACTGGATCCATGAGATCTCAACCAAATGTCTCAGGAAGTAGAATTTGGCTCTTAGTAGTACAGCTTTTGGGAAGCACACCTGGCTGCATAACTGAGGTGGCGGCAGCAGAAGAGACATCGGTTTCCTTGGTGAGCTGAACCTTGGGCTTTCCTCTCTCTGTAGATACTTTGACCCAGCAACGGGCAAATTCAGCAAGTCTGCCACCAGCCCTGATGGGAAGAAGCTGCCAAGGACTTTCTGCCAGCTGATCCTTGACCCCATATTCAAGGTGAGAGGCTTCTTACCTTTGGAATTCCTCAGATAACTCTAGGGGGCATGCACTCTTGTGGCACATACGACCCATACGTGATGATGGAAAAAATTTCTTCACTTTGACCTGACATACTGTGCTTGAAGAAATTTTGAAAGTCTGACACAATGGTGGCCGATTGCATCAAAGTCCTCCCAGGAAAGCCGCCTTGCCTCATGTGGGACCCCCCCCCCCCACCGCCCTCATGTTGTGTTGTGTCAGGTTGCAGCTCCCGTAGTCCAGGCTTTTGGATGGGTAGGCATCACAGAAGTTGTGGTGTCGAGGAAAGGAATAAAATAACTCGATTTGTCCAGATCTTGCGTGCCGCCTTGCTCTCGTGACGACTGGCCCTTGATACAAATAACACGTTTGGAGGTCCAGGGGTCTGCGGTGTTTGTAAACGCTTCTCATATGTGATCCTGACAAGTGGTTAATAAACTGAGGCTCTGTCCAGACAAGACAGGTGTTGTTAGTGGGTGCTTTGTCTGTCTGTCAGTTGGGTGGTGTTGCATTCCCCCCAAAGGTCAAGGTTTGTAGCCTGGGGGTTCTTCTGGACCCAGTGTTGTCACTTGAGGCAGAAGTGGACTCGGTGGCATGGAGCACCTTTTATCACCTTCAGCTAATTTACCAACGATGACCTTACCTGGACACAGGGAGCCAAGCAACAGTCATTTGGGTTAGTGCAATATGCTGTACATGGAATTTCCAGACCATTTTCAAAGGCTGTCCCAACTGATTCAAATCAGACTGGCAAGACTATTAATGGGGACTGACTTACACAGACACATTGCACAGGCTGCTGGTTGAACTACATGTCCAATTTGAAGTGCAAGTACTGGCATGCAAAGCCCTAACAACTTGGGACCAGGTTATCTGAAGGATCACCTCCTAGATGTATCTCCCTGTACTGTGGTCGTCTTTGGGGGTCCTTCCCCAGGAGCCCTTCCAAAGGAAGTGAGGGGAGTGGCTCCCAGAAGGAGGGTGTTCTTGGCTCTGGCACCCCAGTTTTGGAATGAGCTCCCCAAAAAGATTTGCAGTTCTTTTCAATTAACTTTACTTAACTGAGCCTCAGTTTTGGGGCAGTATAAAAATTAGAAGCTGGTTTTTCCCATTGTGGCACTTGAATTGTGCCACTGCTTTTGAGATAGAAACTTTCAGAGGGCGCCTTGTGAAAAAGTGCCACTGGGCCCCTGCAAGGGGGATTGTGCTTGCGTTGGGCTGATTGAAGGAAGCCAGCTGGCCACCCATTTGCTTCCCCGTAAACATCTCCAGAGAAGGTGGCATAACCATCTCCTGTTGTACAATCTTCTTTTTAAAAAGGTCTTTGATGCAATCATGAACTTCAGGAAGGAGGAAACGGCCAAACTGATTGAGAAGTTGGACATAAAGCTGGACAATGAGGACAAGGACAAAGAAGGCAAGCCCTTGTTGAAGGTGAGCCTGGCAGGCTGCCGCTGGTGGGGTGTGTGCTTCCTGGGTGGCTGGGGCTGGTTGGGTGGCCCCAGCAGCAGATCTCTCAGCAATCGGTGGTGCAAAATAAAATGCAGGGCTGTCGCCAGCAGAAGCAAATCCTAAATGATCAAATAGCTGGTAAATAAGAACAAAGCACAGAAATAATTAAATACTGCTCATTCTGCTTGTAGCTAAATAGCGGCCAAGAACAATTTCATTTCCTCCTCCATCAGAGAGAAGGAAAAAAGGCATAGTATTGGGGTGATATTCCTGGGTATGGAGAAATTGATTTGTTCTCTCAGTACAAGTTGTGGAAAAGGAAAATTGCATTCTGTTTCCATGTTCAATTCACAAGGTCATAAGCTCTCATAATAGCACAGTCCTCTGAATATCCCCTCTGGGCATATAGCGAGAGGCAGGAGTGGTCTGGGAAGATCAGGGAAGCTTCAGGCTGTGAGCTGGTTGCCTCATGTGATCCCACTCCCTCCAACTTGACCCCCTTTTGGTTCTCTCAAAAACCCCAGGCTGTGATGAGGCGTTGGCTGCCTGCTGGAGAAGCCCTGCTTCAGATGATCACCATCCACCTGCCCTCCCCTGTCACAGCTCAGAAATACCGCTGTGAGCTGCTGTACGAAGGACCGCCTGATGATGAAGCTGCAATGGGTAGGCAGCAGCCCTCCCTGGGGCAGAGAATCAGGGGAGAAAGAGCTCTTCTCAGACCCCCATGGAAGAAGGGGCTTTAGGGTTCTGGCAGCCCCGCATGAGCTCCTCTGTCCACCTAATTGCAGGAATAAAGAACTGTGACCCAAAAGGTCCCCTGATGATGTACATCTCCAAGATGGTGCCAACCACAGACAAGGGCCGGTTCTATGCCTTCGGACGGGTCTTCTCCGGCATTGTGTCCACTGGCCTGAAATGCAGGATCATGGGACCAAACTACACACCCGGCAAGAAGGAAGATCTCTACCTGAAGCCGATCCAGAGGTCTGTCTTCAGGCACTGCAGGGATTTTGTTTCCCTGCCTTTCCCACAAACCCGTTGGACTCAGGGTCTCGGGGAAAAGCCCCAGTGATGAATCAGTGGGGGGTGGCTCCTTGCCCTGGCTTGAAGCCAATGTTGGCTGGCAGGCCACAGTGCATGAGTGTCAGGAAGAGGTGGGGAGGGTGCCAGCATTTTGGGGAAGCCAGGCCCCTGCCACTGTGGCAGCCCAGCCATGCCTCCCTTGTCTGTGATTCCCTCCTCCCAGGACCATCCTCATGATGGGCCGGTACGTGGAGCCCATTGAGGACGTGCCTTGCGGGAACATTGTGGGACTTGTGGGGGTCGACCAGTTCTTGGTCAAGACAGGCACCATCACCACTTTCGAGCATGCCCACAACATGCGCGTCATGAAGTTCAGCGTCAGCCCCGTGGTGCGCGTGGCTGTCGAGGCCAAGAACCCTGCAGACCTACCCAAGCTGGTTGAAGGTCTCAAGCGCCTGGCCAAGTCGGACCCCATGGTGCAGGTGAGTGGGGTGCTCTCCTGCGGCAGGGGAAGCTTGCCTGATGGAGGTCTGTATGCAGAGGTCTGCCTTTTGTGTCAGGAGAAGCCAGGTGCTGTGGTGGTTAAGAGCCAGGGACTGGACACAGGAGAGTGCGTTCTTGTATGCTATTGGCCGTGAAGCTCACTAGGTGACTGTGGGCCAGTCCCTGACTCTCTGACTAGACCAGCTCACAGGGTTGTTGTGAGAATAAAATAGAGAGGGTTAGTAGGTGACTTGGGTTCTTAACAGGAAAAAGGCAGGTCAGAAAAATGAGTTTCAAGCACCTCCTGGAAACATCCATATTTCAAGATGTTTGCTTTAGCTATTTAGCCACTATTTTTATTAAGCTCTTAATTTTTATTCTTTCCCTTTCTGCAATATTGTATGTTCACTGCTTCAGAATCTAGATGTGGAACATTATATAGAAATTGTGAAGAGAATAATACAACACATAAAATCCAAAACATTGCCTTTTTTGGTTGGCTTTGAGTTTGCCTTATGTAATGGGGCTGTGAGGGGTGGGTAAGCAAGACAACACATTTGAACTGTCAGAACGGAAGGCCCTGCAAGTGGCCGCATTCCAGGCAAGAGGAGGCCTGGGGAACCTGCTGCTGCCCGTCCACATTGCGGCTCCTTCCCTCCTTCCAGTGTATTATTGAAGAGTCAGGGGAGCACATCATAGCAGGCGCTGGAGAACTGCACCTGGAAATCTGCCTGAAGGACCTTGAAGAGGACCACGCCTGCATTCCAATCAAGGTAGGCTGCCCACCCCGTCCCTGCCCTTGGCATAGCGCATGGGGGAGGCCACTGGGGCACTCTTTGGTGGGCAGTGCACTCAGGCTGCTTGGTGGGGCTCCTGCCGGGCTGGGCAGCATTGGCTTTGGACTCTGCACTTCTAGTCCTTTGTTGGAGGAGGCCTGGAAAAAGGGCTGTTCCGTGGAGTCCCTGAAAAGAGTAGAATGTAGCAAGAGGGAAGGCCCTAGTTCAGTTGAGCCAGTTCCTCACTTCAGCCCCTTTATGCAGGCCTGCAGGGATGGAGAGCTGTCTTTCCCATGTCATCAGGCCTGTGGAAAGACTTGTTCAAGGGGCAGCTCAGCCTCTTCCCATATTTTAGTCTGCAAACAGTGGCAGATGAGAATGCTGACAAAAGGCGGCTTCAGCCTGTGGAACTGCTTTGCTTGCCATGATAAAGACCAAATGAGGTGCTGTGCAGTTTTCTGTGGGCTGTGGGGGTCTTGCCCTGCTGAGTGGTGTTGGGGAAGCTGGCTGTCTCGAGGGCCTTTGTTTAGACCTTTCCTCAAGCTGGCAATTCTGCTTTTTGGGTCATATCATTCAAGTCATTTTTCAGGCAGAGGGGCAGCAAAATTCTGTCCCCATGTGGGACAAGTCTGCTTCAGTCTCATGTGGAAAGGCCCAGAAAATCAGGAGAGTGTGATCTCCAGACTAAAATAAGCATGGGCAAACACACCTGGAGGGTGCCCCTTAGGGAGCCCTGTGCTTACTACTTGGAATGCACCTGGTGAAGGAAGCTGGCAGAGGAACTGGTGCCATTTTGGGCGGAGGGTGTGGTGCCAGATGGGAGTTTGGGTTCGTAGTTGGCCATGCAGCAGCAATTCTGAGTGCTAATTCCCGAGTGGTTGCCTTGGCAGAAATCGGACCCGGTGGTGTCCTACCGCGAGACCGTCAGCGAGGAGTCTGGGGTGCTGTGCCTTTCCAAATCACCCAACAAACACAACCGCCTCTACATGAAGGCCCGGCCCTTCCCTGATGGCCTGGCCGAGGACATTGATAAAGGGGAAGTCTCGGCCCGCCAGGAGTTGAAGCAGCGTGCCCGCTACTTGGCTGAGAAGTATGAGTGGGACGTGGCTGAGGCCCGCAAGATCTGGTGCTTTGGTCCGGACGGCACCGGCCCCAACATCCTGACTGACATCACCAAAGGGGTGCAGTACCTCAATGAGATCAAGGACAGCGTGGTGGCAGGCTTCCAGTGGGCCACCAAGGAGGTGAGACTGGCCAGGCCTCCTTGGGCGAGTCGTGGGGGGGGGTGCATTTATGCCAAACTGCCTGCCTGCTGGCATAAGGGAGCGGACGTATTTCAGCGTTGGCTCCTGCCCTCCACAGGGTGCCCTCTGCGAGGAGAACATGCGTGGCGTCCGCTTCGACGTGCATGACGTGACCCTTCATGCTGATGCCATCCATCGGGGGGGCGGCCAGATCATCCCCACTGCCAGGAGGTGCCTCTATGCCTGTGTGCTGACGGCCCAGCCCCGCCTCATGGAGCCCATCTATCTTGTGGAGATTCAGGTGAGTGGAACTGGGAAGGACTGGTGAGCTTCAGGGGGAGCCAGGTTGCTCTTCCTAACCTAGCTCAGTGTATCTGCTGCCTTTCTTCCAGTGCCCGGAGCAGGTGGTGGGTGGTATCTATGGTGTCTTGAACCGGAAACGGGGCCACGTCTTTGAAGAGTCCCAGGTGGCTGGCACTCCCATGTTTGTGGTCAAGGCCTACCTCCCTGTCAACGAGTCTTTCGGTAAGTCTTGGAGATGCCTCTGGCAGTCGGATGACTCCTGACTCTTCAGAGGGTTGTTATTTAAAACCCCCTTCAGCCAACAAAAAGGTGCTTGGCCTGATTCACCGAGTCCTGCTCTTGGACTTCTTCTCTAAAGAGCATTACACCAAAGGAAAAGGGGTGGCAAGGGAAGAGGAAAAGAGCAAACTCAAGTGGCTGGTTTTAGTTGTAAAATTCCCCAAAGCCCTAGCTGGTGCAGCCGCAGGAGATCAAAATAGCTGCCGTTAGTCTAGATGTCCATCTCTGTCAGGCTCATGAGGGTTGACTTTGCCCACATGAAAGTGGGGGGAAGGCTGCTGCTATGTTCATAAAGCTGGGAGAGGGAGATGTGCAGAGTCCACTAAATCCTGCAGTGCCATCGTTTGTCCAGTCCCTCTTGATAAACAGCGCAGGGCATGTGCCCCACGTAAGCTCTGTGGAAAAGGTAGCGTCTGCAATAACAGCACTGGTCTGGCCAGGCCAAGCCTAAAGTCTGTTTCAGCTCTCCTAATGCCACAACTTTTTCTCCACAGGTTTCACAGCCGACTTGAGATCCAATACAGGGGGACAAGCTTTCCCCCAGTGTGTGTTTGACCACTGGCAGATCCTTCCTGGAGACCCCTTTGACAACAGCAGCCGCCCATCTCAAGTTGTTGCCGAGACACGCAAGCGCAAAGGGCTGAAGGAGGGCATTCCAGCACTGGACAACTTCCTGGACAAATTGTAAAAGCCGCCATTGCAAATGCCACACCAGATCTAAAAGAATAAATTTTTGTGGGACTCCAAATCAGATTTAACTAGCATAATATCCTTGGTGCCACACGTGCTTTGGCCGAAGGCGGCAGCCCCCACTTCATATTAACTTAAGTCATGAAACAGTTTTCAATGGACTGCTTCAGTCTTGGGGGTCTCTGTCTGCATACAAACCAGAGGGCCTCTTGCCCTGTGCCATTGTAACTTAATAAACACACCTCCATTGATGCAAGTGCACTGTTGCTCTTCATATTTATTTGCGTCTCAGAGGCAGTGGGAGTTCTTTCCCTTGATTCAGCCCCAGGTGGGGGAGGAACCTTTGGAAAAGAAAAGGTGTTTGTGTGAAGTTGACTCTGTTCTGCAAAATGTTGGATTAGACATGATGGCATGATCTGGGGTTTTGTCCCAGGAAGGGGGTGTTTTCAAAATTGGGTGATAGCTAGAAGGCCTGGACGTTTTCTGCTCATGGGTGTCATTGTGCAAATAATGTATTAGTACCACTGGAATAATAAATTTAATAAGATGATTGATCAGGCTTCCTGTTTGTGTTGAATGTCTTTAGAGCTGTCAGGCCTTGAGAAACACAAAGGGGAGGGCTCCGTAGGCGTGTAACATAGAAACAGAAACTGCGAGTCAGAAGGGGCCTCCCGGCCCATCTAGTCTGACCCTTGGCTCCAGCCAGCCCACCATGTGCATGTCCAGCCTATCTTTGAACACCCGCTCTGATGGGGCCTCCCGTGGAAGCCCATTCCATACCCTCGGGGTCCTAACTGTCAGGAAGTGCTTCCTGGCATCCAAATGGAACCTTGGCTCCCTGAGCTTTGCTGCGTTGGAGCACATCCTGCCTTCCTCTGCAGAGGAGAACAGGTCTCTACCCACCTCCGTGTGACACCCCCTCACATACCTGTATGTCGCCAACAGATCCCCTCAGTCTCCTCCAGGCTGAAGAGACCCAGTTCCCTCAGTCTCGCCTCACGGCATCCCCTGCAAACCAGCCACCAGCCTTGTGGTCCTACGCTGCACTGATTCTTACCTGGCCATATCCTTTTTGTAATGAGGGGCCCAGAACTGAGCACAATACTCCAGTTGCGGGCGCACCAGAGTCATATAGAGTGGTAGTAAAACCTCTCTTGATCTAGAAGCCATACTTCTGACTATGCAACCAAGGGTGGCGTTCGCCCTCTTGACCACCGCATCACACGGCTGACTCATGTTCAGCCTGCAGGCGACCAGCACCCCGAGGTCCTTTTCGCAAGTGCTGCTCTCCAGCCATTTATCACCTAACCTGTACTTATGACACCTATTCCTGTGCTCCAAGTGCAAGACCTTGTACTTACCCACATTGAACGCCATCCTGTTGTCTCCTGCCCACTTCCATACTCTGTCCAGATCCTTTTGGATCTGGAGTTCCTGCTTCTCAGTTGTGGCCGCTGCCCCAGTTTTAGTGTCTGCGAATGTGACCAGCAGACTGTTCACCCCTTCTTCCATGTCGTTAATGAAAAGATTAAACAGGATCGGCCCCAGGACAGAGCCCTGGGGAACCCCTCTTGTCACTGGCCACCATCCCGATGATTCCCTGCTAATGGTTATCCTCTGCTTTTGGTCAGTCAACCATGCCCTAATCCACTGGGCAGTGCGTTGGTGTATCCCAAAACTCAGTTTCTCCACCAGGATATCATGGGGCACTTTGTCAAAGGCCTTGCTGAAATCCAGGTATACCACATCCCCTCCATCCAGCCATCTCGAAACCTTGTCATAGAATTCCACAAGGTTTGTCTGGCAGGACCTGTTTTTGTGGAAGCCGTGTTGTGTGGCTGCCAGCCTCCCTTCCCTATCTAGAAACACTAGATCTCTCTCTCTTATGAGCCTTTCCATTGTTTTTCCTACCATGTGTAGAAAATGTTGGTTTTCAAAAGAGTTTCATGTGCATCTTTGAGCTTTACATTCCCCTCCATGTTAAAGTACCCACACACATTGTAACAGAAGATTTATTTTTGGTAGAGTACACTTCCCCAGTCTCACCCCAGTGCTGTTGGGGTGGGGTGGGGGTGGGGGACACAATTTCCTGGCTTTGTGCAATTCCTTTGCCATTTTGTATGACCAAAATCACAGAACTTGGGAGGATGCAAAAGGCCATCAGGTCTAGCCTTCTGCCCATTGCAGGAATTAAAGTTCAAGCATCCCTTCTAGGTGGCTGTCCAGCTGCATCTTGAAGGGGAGACCCCATAATCTCACAAGGTCTCTGGTTCCATGGTTGTATTGCTCAAAAAGTGGGGAGGTGATGTCCAGCTGTGATGTCCAGCTGCAGTCTGGCTTCCTGGAACTGTATCCCATTATTTCCACATCCTACACACTTGGATGATCAAGAGATTCCAGAGAAGATGCTATGGAGGAGCATTCTGTGGATCCCCCTGATGGTTGTTCAGTCCAGCCCAACTGTCAGACGACTTCAGAAGCCAAGTTACTTTATGCCCAAAACATTCCCACTGTTGACCAGGAAGGTTAACTGATCAACATTTGGTCTGATCAGGATTTGCTCTTGCAGAATCCATGATGACCTGTAATCACCGCATTGTTTTCAAGGTGCTTGCAGGTGGGCGCTGTGTGATCTTTACAATTTTCCCAGGGACTGATGTCAGACAGGCTCAGCTACTAGAGGGTCCTTGAGAGCAACCATGAATTACACAGATGCTAAGGAGGCTTTTCTGTATTTTAACCTCACCCATCTTTGGAATGCAACCTTGAGAGCTGCTCCAAACTGGACTTGGGCCCTTTGGCTGAAAGACGCTTGGGGGACTGCTGGTCTAAGTCAAGGGGGCTGCTTTTGTATTCCTATGGAGCCATCAACCAAACTGTCCAGGGAAATGGAACTTCTGTGTTTGGAAGGAGCTTCCCCTGAATAATCAATGTACCTCCACCCATTTTCTGCCTTGTCCCACAGCCCTAAACTCTGGGTTAAAAAGGTAAGAGTGTATCTTCTCATCAGATGCAGTGAAGGCTAGAATTTAGGGAGGAGAAATCTGGTGGGTTATTAGCTGCGGAAAATGAATGGAGCCTCCATGATCAGAGGCAGTCTACAACTGGATATTGGTTAAAGTATTTTATCCCACTCCTGAAGATTCTGTGAGTTTCCATTAATCAATAAACAAGCCACAAGCTTACAATAAAACATAAAGACATGGTAGACAAAAAGTTATGGGTAGGGAAAAGGAAAAAGTTGCCTGAGTAACTTTGGGCCAGCCTTTGATGCAAAGTGACCACAGGTGGTTCTGAGGATAAAATAGAATTATGTAAGCCACTTTGGGTTTGTTGTCCACAAAAGAGGAATTTGGTCCTGGTGTGTGCATTAGTCAATCAAGCACTCCAGGCATGTGAAGTGGTAAAAGCTTTATTCTGCATAAAAGGGTTTCCATGCACAAGATAGGCAAAATGGACCTCCCATGGGGGGAAAAAATCCCACCCTTTTATCAGCCTTTGAAGGAATGTAAACAAGTGTTAGCACCGGGTAAGGGAACCACCTCCTACCTAAGCCCAGGTATGGTCATATGGGAACTGATGGACTCTGGCCTGCCCTTCAGGTCTCTTGCAGGAAAAAGGGTGTGCCAAAGTATAATAAAGGGCCGTTTCATGCAATTCAGAGCATATCTAATTGTGAAATCTCCATATAGAGGCAGTATCAGCGGTACAACCAGGAAAGGTTAGATTCTGGACCTAATTTTTTGTGAATATTACATGAGTGAAGCTGGGGACAGACTAGATGGTCCCATAGACTCCTCCTGACTCTTTGTTTCAATGAAATGATGTCAGGGGCGCTCTCACAAAATGGCCACCACTCCTCCTGCCCCCTAAAGGCAAAGTGATGAGGATGACAGAAAAAGTGACTTGCCCAGAACGAAAAGTTGAGGTGGGAGGCAATGAGTCCCAAAACAAACAAACTCTTGAGCCCAAATAAAGATTGTGCCTTTTTGCTTTGCTGCGTGCCAACTTGAAACAAATCATAATAAAAATTCCTTCAGAAATAAAATGAAAACCTAGAGGGGCAGAGGGTTAGGGTGCCAAAGTATGTGTCTGGAAGCCCATTTTCCCCTGCAGAGAACCCAAGGCGGCTGCCAAGATTCTCCTCCTCGCTATTTAATTCTCTCAACAACCTAGCGAGGTAGTTTAAGCCGACTGGAACTCAAACCCGGGCCCCCCCAGGCCGAACTCCTCACCGCTATGCCACTGCAACTTTAAATAAAGATACAGACTTGAGAGATCCCCCACGGGAAACGGGAAGCAGCCTCTGACCACCCACCCCGCTGGAAACAGGGCGCCGGGGCGGGGAATGCCTCCTCCCGAAGGAAAGCCACAGAAAACAGCTGGGGACGTCATGCTCTCGGCCTCGCCCGAGCCTGCGGGAGAGGTGGTGGAACGTTGCGGAGAGTGACGTCACCTCGCGCCTCAGCCAATGGGAGGCGGGCGGGGGAGGTGGCGAAGGCAGTGTCGGAATGCGGGTTGCATTCTCTCGGGCACGCGCGTCGCCCCTCCCAGGCGTCTGAGGTGGGCGAAGGGGGAGGCCAGTGCGCTGGGGGGGAGCGCTTTCCGTTTTAAGCGCGCGTGGGGCCTGCTCGTTGAGCGGGAAACTGGGGTGCGCGCAGGGGCGGTGCGTCTTCTTGGGGCTTTAAGGGCGAAGTTGTAGGGTGGAAGTTTGTGTGGGGGGGTGGGGAAGTCTGGGCTTCCTTGTGGGGCTGGCGATTGGCACGTGGTGCCCCGTGAAGGAGGGGGTCACAGTGGGGGGCTGAGAGGGAGAGTGGAGGGTCTTGTGAGCGGCCTGGGGAGCTTGGGGGAACTCTGGAGTGTGGGAGCACGTATATATGGGGGTGCTGTATAGGGATGGGAAGGTTGTGAGGGGCCTGGGGACTCTGGGAGAAGGGGTGAAGTCCAGAGTTTGTGAGGATGTATATATGGGTGATAAGTTTTGTGTGTGAGATGGGGGCCGTTGAAAACATTGAAGCACAAGGGCACTGTGGTGGGGGCCTGTGAGGTGGAGGGCCTGGGGGATTGTGGGACAGGCTTGCAGTAGAGCTGGTGCAGAGGATTATGGGAGGGGTTGAGGGGAAGGAGCGAGAGTGTAAAGAATGGGGGGGTTGGGAAAATATTGGGTGACCTGTGTTGGACAGGTTTTATGGGGTTAGGATTCTGCAAGGCTAGTTTGGGGGAATGTGAGGATAGGAGGGAGGCTTTGAAAGAGAAGGGGCAGTTTTTTTGAGGGGCTGGAAATTGGGTATAGGAGACAGAATATTTTGGGTGCTGTAAAGATGTGGGAGGTCTGAGAGGGGAAAGGGTAATAGGGATTGGGAAGTATAGGGGAGCATCTTTTGGAAGCTTTTTGGAACTGCAGTTGGGGATGAGGAGGTAAGTAGGTGAAAAGGGGGTAATGCCTGTTGTGGGGTATGCTGAAGCTAGTTGGCGGAGGCTCAGGTTTGAATTTGTAGTTGCAAGAAGTGATGTGGGAGCAAAGTCAGTGGGGCAGGGCTAGGAGGAGTTGAAGAAAGGGGCCATTAGGTGGAGAGTGATGCTAGTGAGGAAAAGGTGTGCAGGGTTGAAGGCCTCGATGCCTGACGTGTTTGAAGCAGGTGTTGTGAACCTGCAAAGGACATGGTTATGGGATGGGGCTGGAGAGGGGCAAAGCTTCAGGGGGCCATCTGGTGGGAATGGGGTGCTATGAAGAGGCTTATCGCAGAGGTAAAGGCCCGAGTGCAAGTAGATGAACTTGGAGGGGTGCTCCAAAGGGGTGAGGGAAGAAGACATGAAAGATTAACATATTGGGGGAGGATGCTGCACGGGATTGGGAGGGTTGCTCTGAAAGGTAATAGCTGAAGGAACTGAAAAAGATCTGGGGAAGGTGTGGATTGTTGAGGGTTGGGAAGAAAGTGTTGCTGGATCGGCAGGAAGTCCTTGGAAAGCTAGGTGTTACTGGTGATATTAATATTTGGACAGATTTCTGGTTAAGATGAGTTGTTGTCAGCCAAGGCACAATCTGGGGTTATGGGTTGAGTGGGGGAGGGGTAAAGAAGTGGGGTTTGATGGAAAGAAGATCACCGTGTGGGATATACTGTTTTCCCCTGTGTTTTAGCAGCACCTTATCAACTCCTTTGGCATTGAGTGCAGCCTTCGTTCTGGCTACTGGTTTGGCACCAGGAAGAGCAGAAATTGTGGAGGAGACGTGCCTTGTTCCTTGTGGAAGCCATGTCCACCTTCCGGCAGGAAAATGTGGAAGACCACTATGAGATGGAGGAGGAGCTGGGCAGGTGAGCCAGTACTTCATCAAAACTATTTTTCCTGCAACTGCTAGCTATCAAAAATCTGAAATATCTAGGATCCTTGTATATTTGAATATGGTGAACATAGAGATGTGATTGTATATATTAAGAGCAAGCTGTTGCCTATCAGCTTCCTGCAGCGATTGACTTAAGCTGCTGTGATGCCACGGAGTATCCATAAACATTCCATCTGCTTGGGTGGGACGGGAAGCTATCACAACAGAATGTTCATAAACAATGTTCAGCATCTGTAATGAAACTTGAATGTTTAGATAAGTTAAAAGTCTTGATGCCCTGGGGCTGTGCAGTTTAATGAGTTAAGGAAGCCAAAGGACTGAGCATGAACATGGAAGCCTAAAACATGGTTGGCAAGACGGGGCTAAATTTCAGACATTAGCGTCAACTAACTGCCAGATTTCTGGCTATAGATGTATTAATATAGCATTATGTGATTCTCAGGCAATTTCTCTTAAGTGTCCCTAATTTCACACGAAAATTTTACAAGTAGGGTAGCCTTCCAGCACCAGTTGAAATACTAAGGTATGATTGACACATAAGTCAATTGCAAAAGCTGTTCCACACCCAGTTTCCTCTGAATCATTCTGGTCTGACAGCAGAAGTGCCACAGTTCCCTATGGGCATGCAAAGGGAGCCTGTGGCTACCACAGTTCTCATCTTGGGCTTCGTAATTATGTGTGTTGCAGCTTTGGTTTTGCATGGAATGCAAGAGCCTTGCCCAGCTGCCCTGTTGCTGAGCTCTGCATGAGGGGGGTGGGTGCTTGGTGCTTTGAGCTACCATTGAAGGAAGACTGGCAGCCTGCGCCTACTTATCTTTGCTTCTGTGGGAGGTACATCCCACAGAATCCCACAGAACACAGTGGGGAAGTGACTTGCCTGGGACTGTCTGAAAGTCCTACAAGGAATGGGCCGGGGGACTGCAGTCCTCCTTCATAAGGCAATTCTGTATTTTAGATTCAGCTGAATGGGTTCCTTTGCAGGATGCACTGTATCTCTTTGAGGGTGGCAATGAGGGTGGCTTTTCTGAGACTTTGATTGCAGTCAAAATCTTGGAAATGTGCCAATATTCCTTAAACTCCGTGTACAAAGGGAGATGGTTCAAACATAACAGTTCTTTACCAACCCAGCATTCCTAATCATGGTTTGTTAAGTTTGGAGTGAACATGAGACTCACATACTTCCCGCTCTTTGAGTATCAGCCTTGGAACATTAGCCCTTGTCTATTTAAAGCAGGGTTCCACATCATGTCTGAACTGGGCAACTTCAGTTTAATGTCAAGTTTACTGAGTTAGAATCATTGAATAGTAAAATTGGAAGTGGCTAACAAGTTCATGGGCTTCCTGCCCAGTGCAAGACTCCCAAGTTAAAGCTTCAAGCTCTAGGTTCTTAAAAGTTATAGTTTTTTAAAATTTAGGATCAATCTGTGGTTTAGGATCTTGGTTGATCAACTGTTTTTAGCTGGAATCTTCTGTTAGCAATGTTATGGGGAATTCCAGTGTAAGCAGGCCAGGCTGGAATTGGTTTATGAAGGGAGAAGGCAAGGGAACATTAACTTGATTATTATTGTTACTATTATTAAATTACAATTATATCTCACCCTTTTTCCCCTTGTGAGGAACCCAACATGGATATTAACCAGTCTTAAACCATAGCTTGATTCTGCTTAGGAAACCTACATGAAGCATAAACCAACATAAACCAAACATTCTCTCTTTTCTGATGCAATGGGAAACTCTGCTTTCAACAGAGCGAGACTGAAGTTAGTATGTGAAGGAAGGAGGTGACAAGGAGGTGTACAAAATCAAACCTAGTGAAATATGAGATAAGAGCAGCTGATTTTGTTCTGGCTTAATAAACCATGGCTCAATGAACTAGGAATGTTATGTGCAAATTAGGCCATTATGTAGCCAGTGCATGTATGAAAATTTACTATTTCCTCATAGAGGGGGTCTTTAAGCCAAGGTATCATTCCTTTTTATTAGTCTCCTTTTTGTAGTCCAGCTTTATATGGAAAGCTGGCATCTCGCTACCATGACCTCACTTTTGAAAAATGTAAATAAGCCTCTGTAGTTTAATATCCTGGTGCCTGCGGGTTTATTTAAAAGTTTACATAGAAAATTTATGTAGAAAAGGCACAGGCGGATTCGCATTTCTTGCCACGCAGAAACGAGGAAGTGCATTTTCAGCATAGAGGGCAGGTGTGTCAGGAATGCGAAAGGTCAGTTTTGCTGCCTTAGTTTTCTAAAGGAAGAGCTGGGTGCGGGACCTCATAGGATTGGTCTGTGCTGATCAGGACAGCTCTGAACAAAGGGGATGGCTGGGGAAGAAATATCAAACTGTTGCTCCCCCAAAGCAAAGCCTAAAGTAGGACTGCAGCTGACTTTTAAGAAAACAAGTATCATAGAAACATAGAAACAGAGCGAGTCAGAAGGGATCTTCTGGGCCATCTAGTCTGACCCCGGCTCCAGTCGGCTCCGCTCACAACGTGCCCACCATGTGCATGTCTACCCTATTCTTGAACACCCTCACCGATGGGGCCTCAACCACCTCCTGTGGAAGCCCATTCCAGACCCTTGGGGTCCTAACCGTCAGGAAGGAATTCCTGGCATCTAAATGGAACCTTAAAATCATGTTCTCAGAAGAATTACAGACTTTACTGTTAATAATGAAAAAATGGAAATTACAAGAGATCTCACACACTTCAGCTCTGTCATCAATTCAAAGCATTTGAGGAAGACTGAGACTTAGAAGGGCAGCAATGAAGGAACTAGAAAAGATTGTCAGGTGTAAGATACTCAACTGGAAGCCAAGGCCAAGATCACACGCACTTTTGTATTCCCAATAACAATCTATGAGGTCAGAGCTGGACAGTGAAAAAAGTTGACAGGAAGAAGATGCATGTGAAACATGGTGCTGGAGGAGAGTTTTGGAAATACGCTGGACCAACAGAAAGACAAAGTTTTGGATCAAGTCAAGCCAGAGCTTCCTCTGGAAGCAAAAACTGAGAAAACTGAAGACTGTCATACTTCAGACACATCATGAGAAGAAGGCAAGACACTGGAGAAGACAATTAAGCTAGGGAAAGATGAAGGCAGACGAAGAAAAGAAAGACCAAGCATGAGATGGATTGACTGCATCAAGGAATCTGCAGCCTTGAACTTGGAAAAGCTGAATGGGGCTGCCATGGACAGGACATTCTGAAGGCTTTCATTCCTAGCATTGCCATGGGTCAAAGATGACTTGATGGCACATAATAAAGCAAGTTGCACATCTGGCTTTGTTGAGGAGTGAGATTTATACTTGACTTAAAAGCCTTCTCTGGCCTGAAGCTTCAGGGCAGGTAGAACCCCTTTGGCATTCTACACTTGATATTTTATTTATTTATTTATTTATTATTTATTCCCTGCAAAGACTCATGTCCCAAGACTAAATTGCCATTACTCTTTATTCATTTATTACATTCTTCCTTCCCAGGAACTCAAGGTGATGTGTATAATACTCCTCTCAGTCTTATGCTCACAACAAACACCCTGTGAGGCACCTTTGGCTGAGAGTCTGTAACTGGCCCAAGTCACCTGGTTGGCTCCAGGGCTGAGTGGGGGCAAGAACCTGGATTGCCCGAGTCCCAGCCTCTCTCAACCATGACTCCACGCTGGCTCTCAAACAGATCCTAACAATTCTAACCAAACAGATCCAATTACCTGGAGGTTGCAGGATCCCATGACACCTCCTGCATGTACTGTGTACTCCCAGGTGAGGGTTCCAGGAGCTGGTGAGAAAAGCAGAGGGAAATTTTTTATTTATTTTTAAGCCAAGGTATCATTCCTTTTTATTAGTCTCCTTTTTGTAGTCCAGCCTTATATGGAAACCTTTTTTATAAAATTTTATAAAAAATGCCTGGGTGCTGGTGCAGTGGAGCAATCGGGGATGCCGGAGGGCTACTGCGGATGCTTCTGTGGGGAAAGCTCAGACATGGGCTTAGCAGCATGAAACCAAAATGGTGAAAACTAAACATGGAGGAGCACACATGAAACTCCCACAGTATTCCCACAAGACTAAAAGTGTGCTTTGCCCTGCACCCCGAATGCTGCCTGCTCTGAGATTTGTATAATGCTTTTTAGACCACCTCTCCACTCCTGGGGTGGAGTCATAAATAAATGTGTGTGTCCCTCTCTTTCTCCCTCTCCCTCTCTCCTGCTCTTGTCCTTAGTGGCCAGTTTGCAATTGTGCGGAAGTGCCGAGAGAAGAAGAGTGGCCTGGAATACGCAGCCAAGTTTATCAAGAAGCGGCGCCTGTCCTCAAGCCGCCGGGGGGTGAGCCGTGAGGAGATTGAGCGGGAGGTGAACATTCTGCGGGAGATCCAGCACCCCAACATCATCACCCTTCATGACATCTTTGAGAACAAGACGGACGTGGTACTAATTCTGGAGCTGGTCTCAGGTGGGGAGCTCTTTGACTTCCTGGCTGAGAAGGAGTCACTGACGGAGGAGGAGGCCACCCAGTTCCTCAAGCAGATCTTGGATGGGGTCCACTACCTGCACTCCAAGCACATTGCCCATTTTGACCTCAAGGTAAGGTCCAGCGCCCGCCCAGGCAAGAGGGAGCTGGTGCCTTGTACACCAGTTGCCCTGGTCTAGACCTGGACTGCCTTCCTGTTTGGTTAGAAGTAATAGATATTTCAGAGCAAGGTTGGCAGCTCGTTTCAGCCTATCAGCCTCCAGCAGCCAGGCTAATCAGTGGTGAAGTTTCATGGGAGTCATAGGCCTAAACATCTGGAGGGTGACAAGTTGCTCCTCCCATTCCACAGGTATCGCCTCTGGCACACTCTGTATGGTCTTCACAGCCATGCCTGCTGCCTTCTTGGGATTATCTCTTAAATTCTAATCAAGGAATCAACATCCTTGTACATTTTTTGGAGTCTTTTCTGAGACACTCTTGGCTTCTAAATTGCAAGCATTTCCTTCCACAGTCCAGATAAAAGGAGTATTAACTCTTTACACAGAGAAGCTGTGCCTGCCAGCATGACAGCATCAGAAAAGCCATGCTGGGTCTGACCCAAGTCCCGTCATCCAGGCTTCAGCTGCCACAGTGGCCAGTCAGCTGCTTGTGGGAATCCCATGAGCAGGACAGCCATGCAGCAGCTCCCTCCTGCTCATGTTCCTGGTGCTGGGGATGATCGAGGCAGAGTGTCTGCTTCCCACGCCTCCAGTATTTTGTCACTGTTTCCGTTATTCTCCCCACACACTTTGCCAGGAGTCATAACAGCCAGAAAGTTGACAGTGAAGGAAGACCTGCTTTCCTCAAGAGCCGGTTCTGTTGCTGAACTGCCTTTGAACAGGGAGCTTGGAAAATATTTCCTTGAGCTTCATGCACATGAGGTTGCTGGAATAGTTCCGAGGACATGACTTTGGGTGGCACTAAAGATCTCATGGCCAGGGTAAAGGAGTTGTCATGAGATCTGATGCTTCTATACTGTTCACTGAAGAATCTGTAAATCCAGAGATGAATCTGTAAATCCCCTTCATGCTTCCGTGGGGGATTTTGTTATGCCTTTGTGTCTGGTAAAATGGGTCAGCAGGTAAGAATGGGTGTTCTGGAGCCACTGGCCAGGAGTTCTCTGCACCAGACGCTAATTTGCTGCATGCATAGAGGATCACGCACCTCCGTTGGTTCCTCCCTGCAGCCTGAGAACATCATGCTCCTTGACAAAAACGTCCCGAGCCCTCGGATCAAGCTGATCGACTTTGGCATTGCTCACAAGATTGAAGCAGGAAACGAGTTCAAGAATATCTTTGGCACCCCAGAGTTTGTAGGTATGTGGGGGTGGAGGAAGTTTGGAAGAGACAGTTAGCTTGGGGTCTGTGACGGCAAGGTGTGCTTGTGTCTGCAGGGGAGACAGGCTGGCAAAAAGGGGTTGGATGGTCTGGATGACTAGCTTTCTATTGGATCACTGCACACCTGGAAATAGCATTTCCCTTGGAAAAGGAACAGAAAGTACTCTAACTTGGTAGGAAAACAGACATGGGCATAGGAGAAAAATTTGCAAAGCTAGTTCTTCCTGCTGGGGGTGAAGGGGAATGTAGGGCTTTTTTTGTCTCAGCATGTAAAGTGGTTCCTCGTACTTTGAACTTTATCTCCTTTCAGGAGGCTGTTTGAACTCTGAATCATTCAAAGTCCTAATCAGTTTTTTCCATTAGAAATAATAGAAGGTGAATCAATTTGTTCCCAGGCCCTAAAAGATACTCATTTTGATAAACTTAAGCAGCAAATACGGCTTCCTGAAACAAATCAAGTTTGAGGTTTTATAGGAGGTATGATCAAAAACTACAGTGAGTGTTTGAATTACAGAAAAAGACAGGTTGCCACTAACCACCACAAAACTCCCCCCATCACTTTGCGCAGACGTGCCTGTCGTTCCTGCCGCTTTCAGAAGGGCTTCTGGAAGCCCTCTTTTGTGAGTGTAATCGCACTGCCATGGCAGAAGTGCTTCCGAAAGCGGCAGGAAAGACGGGCACATCTGCGCAAAGTGATGGGGGCATTTTGTGGTGGTTAGTGGCAACCTGTCTTTTTCTGTATTTTTTTTCGATGTGGGTGTGCAGCTGATGGCATCTTCACTGTGTCTGCATTTTTTTCACTTTGCTTGTAGTTTGAACTTAGGAGCATGGTTCAAGCCATGGCGCGATCTCATCTCAGTTCTAATGTTCAGACTCTGGACCATTCAGAGTGAGAGTCATCTAGACTGTGCGGTACCACTGTGTTGGGTTATGCCTTCTGTCCCACAAGCAGAAACACAGCAGCGACAATTTCTGGAGGACACGAACAATTTGTAGAACATGCAAACAAAAATAAAAATGAAATTTGCTCTCCACCTTCACTCTAGGCGCTGTGAAAAATTCTCAGACTGAAAGGAATTCATGGAATTTATATGCCTGAATGTGATTTGAGGTGCTTGGTGAATTAGGAGCTATTTGCTATCTTTCTGTTTTCTTGAATGAATAGGCCTGTTAGTACAGCAGACTATTGTTAAATAGTTTTGCCTTGTTCTTATTCATGTTGTATGTATTCATGTTTTATAAAATTAATGAAATACTTGTTTTTTAAATGATGAAATGAGTAGAATAGGGTTATGGAAGGATAGATGGACGGAACAGCTTTCAGTGGGCTTTTTTGTACTGATAGTTTCTTCCCTCTCTCCCTGCAAAAAGCTCCAGAAATAGTCAACTATGAACCTTTGGGCCTGGAGGCTGACATGTGGTGAGTGAAATGAGCTTGCACTGGATTTCTTACTGAATTCTTGAAGTCAAATATGTGAGGCTAGGAGCTTCCTGTTATGGAAGAGGCAAAGGTTGTGGGAGGTCCATGCTCTAAGGATGCTCACAAGTTTGCTGAAGGAGAAGAATGTGCAGCGTCTGGATTCCTGCAAGAGAGCCAGCAGGAAGTCACAAATCGTTGCCTTTCTAAATTGTAACTTCCATTTTGTAAAGCAAGGTGCTGGAGGCTGCTCAAGTGGCCCTTCCTCACCAAATAGGCCGAAGCATTTGTGCTAGGTGAGCTGGGCTGGGCCACGCCAGCCAAGGGCCTGGAGAGCCCAGGCTGGGCTGCAGAGGCCTGGGGGGTTCTGTGTGTGGACCAAGTGCTGCAAGGGCCTTGATCATCTCCTTTTCCCCCCTCCTAGGAGCATTGGAGTCATTACCTACATCCTGTGAGTATTTTGGAGTAAAGGCTTTCTGCACGGGGTTTGCTGGAAGAACCAGCCTGCATTCTTTGAGGTTGAGAAGTGGGTGGCTTTGGGCTCAGGGAAGGGTGCTGGTGGAGCTGCTGAATGTTTCTCAGCTGGAGCACCAAATCCCATTTGTGCTGCAGTGGTGGGCAGGACCGCTGGTGGGGCAGATCCAGAATGCAAATGTTGCCAGCATCTGTCATCTCCAAGCTTTTGAGTGCAACTTTCAAAGGACTCTTTCGAGCGTTGGGAGTGCAAGGAGAGCGCACAGAAGCCAGGGAATTGCCAACAATTGGTAGGAAGGGAGTGAGCCCTCCGGGGAGCCTGATTTGGGTCCTGGCTTGCCAAACTTTCCTTAGCTTTTTTTACCCCAGTTTGGGGTTTCTGTGCAGGATGACTGAGTTGCAGGCTGCAGCTTATGGGACTGGAGTCATGCAGCAGGCAGGCTGTGTAGCTGCAATGCCTGAGGATGGCAGGAGAGGTGGGAAAAGTGGCTGAGAGCAGGGAGACAGTCTGGAGGAAAGAGTGCAGTGTGGGTGGCTCTGGCTAAGGAGCACAGAGACCTTCGAGCTGAGGAACAGGTTGTCTGAGTGAGCTGTGGGGCTGCCCTGCTGTTGCAGGTGCGAGAGTGGCGGGCCATGGCTGTGACTCCGATTGCGTGTGGTTCTGTCCTTTTCACCTGCAGCCTGAGCGGCGCATCACCTTTCCTGGGTGAAACGAAGCAGGAGACTTTGACCAATATCTCTGCTGTGAACTACGACTTTGATGAAGAGTATTTCAGCAACACCAGTGAACTAGCCAAGGACTTCATTCGGCGCCTGCTGGTCAAAGATCCCAAGTATGAGAGTTGTGGGGTGGAGGGAGTGCAGGGTGGGGCCGTGGTGACCAAATCTTGAGAAGATTTAGTGGAGCTGAGCGATGGCACTGGGAGCTGTGTCCTTGGGGCTCTTTCTGTTCCCTCCTACTGTTTTATGGGGGTGAAGATTCTTTTTTTGTGGGGGCAGGGTAGGAATTGGTTAGAAAATGTACTTTGGGATAAATCTTGTGGGGTTGAACCCAGCACCTCCAGGAAGCTCAGAAGGAGGAGAGAAGGGCTGTCCCTCCTCCTGCAGTTGCCCTCTCTGCATCCAGTGTTCAGGTGCCCCAGAGACACAGGGGTTTTGTTCTGTGCAGGGGCGGCCAGGGGCCCACTGGCCTCTGCAGGTTGACCTCAGCGTGAACTTCTGCAAGGATTCCTGGCTCCCGGCTGTTGGACCAGCCGACTGTAAAAAGGCTTCCCTGCCCCTTCCGAATTAGACCCCCAAGATGGAGGAGGCTTGCACGGAGCAACAGGACAGTGAGTGCGGGGTTCTTGGAGACTGAAAACGAACCCTTGATCATTACCGAGCGCTCAGGGCCTCATGGTCCCTTGATTCTCCTTGATGGTCCATCTGCCTACTTTGCCTGGGCTCCAGTTGGTGGTGTGTGATGGCCCGGGAAAAAGCCACTAACTGCCCCCATTAGACGCCAGCCCTCTGGTTCAGCTGCTGCTCTTCCCAAGCTGTGGTTATCACACCCACACCTGTGCCTCAAGGTTAACCATGCATCACCTAGGATTTCTTGTGGGGTTGACTCTAGGCTGCCCAACCCCAAACAGCCCAAACTTCTTGGGAGGGGGTCATGCTAACAACCCAGAAATGTTCCTGTGTTTGTTAACACTGAAACAACTTGGGATAGTTTAGGGATCATTCAACCCAGAATTAACCCAGTTTGCACACTTTCAGTGAACTGAAAATAATAGAGATGAGCATTTAGATGCCAGGAAGCACTTCCTGACAGTTGGGACCCCGAGGGTGTGGACTGGGTTTCCCCGGGAGGTGGATGAGGCCCCCATCCGTGAGGGTGTTCAAAGACAGGCTGGACATGCACATGGTGGGCATGTCATGAGAGGAGCCGGCTGGAGTCAGGGTCAGACTAGGTGGCCCGGGAGGCCCCTTCTGACTCGCTCTGTTTCTATGTGGAAGGCAGTATAGTCCGTCACTCTTGTTTGTCCTGGATTTCATGGGAACTGGCTCAATTAGGCGCTTAGATTGCTAGTAATAAAATACTAAAGATGATACTTCACATTGGCAGACTGTTCCAGTGTTCCAAGCACTTTATGTTTGGTATTTAGCTGTAATCCTTAATACAACAATCCTTCTTGTACCATACATTGCAGTTTGGTGAACTGTGGTTGAGAGAGGCGCTCTCCCAAGACTGCTGAAGCAGGATGTAAACTTGGGAATTCTAGCTTTAGCCATTGCTCTGCTGCTCTAGCTGAACACTTTGGGAATTTCCCAGATCTTCTGGAATTTCAGGACAGACTAGAATGAGGAGATCTGGATGTTTCCTGAGGAAGGAAACGGCTTGGGACCTGGATACCTAAAGGAACGCCTTCTTCCATATTTGCCCTCCCACCCCCTGAGATTGGCAGCAGAGGCCCTCCTCCGGGAACCCTCCGTGAAAGATATTAGGAGACAAAGTACCAGGAGGAGGGCTTTCTCTGCGGTGGCACCCCAGCTATGGAATGCGCTCCCCAGAGAGGTCCACCTGGCACCGTCTTTTTTTGTTTTTTGGCGCCAGGTTAAGACCTTTTTATTCCAGCAATATTTTAATAAGTTTTAATAGTGTCTTTTCTATGTTTTTAACTGCAGCCAGTGTGGGTTGGGAATTTATTTATGTTATACTTTGTTATTTCTTTTTGTAAGCCGTCCTGAGGCTTTTGCGACAGGATGTCATATAAATAAATAAATAATAAGGTGTTTTATTGCCTGTTGGCTTATCATGCAAGGCCTTCTAGAACTGCCTTGCCTCTCCCAACAGCTAGCAGAAAGTAGACTAGATGAGTCAGACGCAAAACCAGTTTGTCTTGTATGATTTGTGTTCGATGCAGTTTGTAACTTTTATGATGCAGAACTTAGCAATTGCAGGTATAGTGAGCACAGACCTGGAAAGCTGGTGCTTGCTCTGAGCAGGAGGCACAGGCGAGTGTCAGCAGGTGGCTCTGCCACAGCCTTGCTGCAGCAAGTGTGAGACGGGGACCATGCGCTTCTTGTGTGCGGGACAACCCTTGAGAATCCGCGGCCAGCACGGTCAGAGCTGATCGCTGCCCTTCTATGTTGTAGGAAACGAATGACGATTGAGCAGAGCCTTGAGCATCCATGGATTAAGGTAAAAACAAAGCAGTTCCAAACATCGCTTGTTTTATTTCACTTTTTCTTTTTTGCCAGGCACAGCAGGTCTCCCAGACTGAAGTCTGAGAAGAATTGCAGGCTAAGTGGGAACTCCATGCATATCAACATAGAAAGAAACATAGAAAACAGAGCGAGTCAGAAGGGGCCTCCTGGGCCATCTAGTCGGCTCCGCTCACGACATGCCCACAACATGCCCACCATGTGGACGTCCAGCCTATCCTTGAACACCTGCACCGATGGGGCCTCAACCACCTCCCGGGGAAGCCCATTCCACACCCTCGGGGTCCTAACTGTCAGGAAGTGCTTCCTGACATCCAAATGGAACCTTGGCTCCCTGAGCTTTGCTCCGTTGGAGCGTGTTCTGCCTTCCTCTGCAGGGGAGAACAGGTCTCTACCCATCTGCATGTGACATCCCCTCACATACCTGTATGTCGCCAACATATCAAGGCAGGAGACAAGTTCTGCCATTTTCTCCGCCTCAGTCTTTTCAGGGTTGCGCCTGGAAAAACAACACACAAGGAAAAAGGAATGGGGATGGAAGAGGAAAACAACCAAACTCAGGCACTGGTTCTTAAAACTTCAGTTACCATCTCTCTGAACAATGATTTGCTTGCCGTGTGTAAGCACTCTCATTTCTCCTGGACACCTCCCACTGGATGATACTTTTCCAGAGAGATGCTGGCCCCAGTGTGACTAGAGGCCTTCACTCCAGGGTAGTTGTAGTAGAGGTAGAAGGGGAATTTGATCATCTCAGCAGGCAGCCAGCAAATGAGGACATGTTTGAGCATCTCCTTCTCCCTTTCTTGCACTTCTGTTGTTACTGGGGGATACTGGCAAGGGCTGGAGGCCTGAGGGAAGAGGGTGCTTGGAGGGACTGTGCCACACTTAGGCCTCTCCCTTTGTCCTTTGCATGGCCTGATCTGCATCAGAAAAAAAACCTGGCAGGTGGGACGCCACTTCTTTGGGATGCCGGTGGGCGATCCTACTTGCAGCACTTCTCTCTGTACTTCTCTCTGTGGCGAGCTCAGAAGCAGCTCACGCACCTCTGCCTTCCCGCTTCAGGAGGTGGAATCCTGTTTTGTCTCTGCCTCCTTGCCTGGCAATGTGTGGTGTGTGAGGTTGTGGAACTCCAGGAAGAATAATGCAAATTGCTGAACTAAAAACGTGGGGTGTATGGCTAGGGCAGAAGGAGGGAGAGGACTGTATCTACCTTTTTCTGAGACTCTTCCTCACTTCCCACCTTTGTTCTCCTTGTAGGTGATCAAGCGACGGAATGTCCGGAATGAAGACAGCGGCAAGAAGCCTGAGCGCCGACGCCTCAAAACGACGCGGCTCAAAGAATACACCATCAAGTCCCATTCAAGCATGCCCCCCAACAACACCTACATCAACTTTGAGCGCTTCTCCAAAGTCATGGAGGAGGTGGCGGTGGCTGAGGAGAGCCTGCGGGAGCTGCAGCGGAGCAAGAAGTCCTTCCAGGAGGACATTGAGGCCTTGCGGTCCATCTATGAGGAGAAGGAGCTGTGGTACAAAGAGGAGAACGAGGCCATCAGCCAGGACCTCCGTCAGATCCGGCAGGAGATGCAGAAGACGGAGGCCCTCAAGCGGCTGACCCAGGAGGAGGCCAGGGGTGCCACGCTGGCTGCCAATGGGCTGAAGCGGCGATATCGGAAGCTGGAGAACCGCTTTGAGGCCCTGGCCAAGCAGGTGGCCTCGGAGATGAAGTTTGTGCAGGAGCTGGTTCGATCTGTTGAGCTGGAGAAGTCGCAGAGCGGGGAAGGGGACTGCACCATCCGCTAACGATGCTCCTATGAGCCCCTGTGGGTGCCTGGAGGAGCTCAGGGCCAGCCCTTCTCCTGCCAAAGACGTCTGCTTGTCCTGCATCCTGAGGGGCACACACTCCTTATTTAATACCTGGTGTGGCTGCTTCCAAGACTACACGTCCCATTATGCAGTGCTCCTGCCTGGCCCTGTTAAGTGGATGGATCCTGCATGCTCGGAACTTGTAGTCGTTTCCCACCAGAAAATGGTGCAGCTTGTGTATATTACCTACAAGTCTTGCTTGGACTCCCACTTTCCACCTTAGTGCTGGCAGAAGGTCCCCCTTCCTTATTGCATCTGAGCAGACCCCCCCTTGCCTCACAAACAGATTTCAGGTTGCGAGGTGTGTAGGCACAGGCCTGTCCCTGACCGCAGGTCTGGCTTGCTCGCAGTGCTTCTGCCCACTCAGGCTGGCACCCGGGCAGTTCGGGGCAGGGCTTTGTGCCTGCACCCTCCCGGAAGCAGCCATGCAGGGGCAGGCAGCTGCAGCTCCTCCCGGCACCCGAAGGCACTTCCTTGTGTCTTTCCAACGAGGAGCTTTCCGGGGTGGCTTTCCACACGGGGTTTGGCTTTCTGGCATTCAAGATTCGAGGGCCATCTTGTGGAGTTGAGTGTGAGAGATCCAGATCAAAGGGAGGACTGCTTGCACCCTGGAATTGAACAGTGGCATTCCCTTCCACAAGATTCTGTGATGGGAACCATTTTGGATGGATTAGTAGGACTTTAAGAAAAGCTTCCTGAAAGAGAAGGCTAGCAGTGGCAACTAGCCCAAGGGCTACAGATCTGGTCCAGGATGAGAGGTGGCACGCTGGTGCACAGCAGTGTCTGGGGACGTGGGCAGGAGCCTGCCATTGCTGCCCTTGGGACCTGCTGGTGGGCTCGGTGGGCGGCTGGCTGGCCACTGTGTGAATGGCAGACAGGGCTTGTTGCACCCGGGCCTGATCCAGCCTCCAAGTTCTGCTGCTGCTCCCATGGGGTACCACCAGGGCAGGGGGTCACTGAATGTCACCCATGCTATACCTTGCAGGCAGTGGAAGACAAGCTGGTAGGTAGGACCAAGGAGGCTTCTCTGTCAAGCTTGAAGTGTGCAGTGAGCACAGAAAGGCGGAGAATTCTGGCAGGATGTCCACATTGTTTCTGTGCAGAGATGCATCCTAGTTTTCTGTGCCCCTTTGCTTTGGTGCTCTTCCTTGTGTCAAGGAAGAGCTTTTATTTGATGGGGGGGGAGTAAGCTTTTCAAAAAAGAAAAAAACTGGGATTCTTCATCCAACTTCATCTCCAGGGAGGGGGACTTGGCCAATAACTTCTGTCTGCCCTCATCAGTTGTGGTGGTTCTGCATGTGGGGTTCAAGGACAAACTGAATCCAGCATCGGCAGGGAAGCAGGTGTTTGCGCTGTGTGGACAGGTGCTCTGGGCTGTGGTTGCCAACTGTGCTGATGGAACCCTTCCCCCCGCACGCCCCCTTTTTTCCCTGTAGACTTGAAGGAAAGTGTGGCCCTCCTTGTGTCCCAGCAGTGATGGCTCTCATGGCTCCTGGAATTTTCCTGCTGTGCTTCCCTCACAGTCTCCTTACTGTGTTTCAGTGGCAGAAGCTCCACCCCTCAGATGGGGCCACCTGCTGCAGCTTTTCCCTGAAAGATGTTAAATCTGGTAGAGCTTGGTGCAACTGAAACAGCATGGCTTCTCTTTCAGGAGCCAAACCCTCAGCCAAAGCCAGCCAGGCTCTTTCACTTGGTATCTGGGATGGCTTCTCTTCTTGGATGGCGCTTTCCTCTTTTCCAATCCAGAGAGACCCCTGTGTTGCTGAGGTCGCCTTGCCACAGCCCCCCTGGATACTCCTCATATCTGCTATAAACCTTCCTTTTCTGTTTCAGTCTTCTAATTCTCTTCCTCCTTGATCCTCTCTTCTATCTTTCTGTATCCTGTCTTCATAGAGTTGTAGAATAGTAGATTTGGAAGGGGCCAAGATGGCCATCGAGTCCATCCTCCTGTGGGTGCAGGGCACCCATTCATCCACTCAAGTGGCTGTCCAGTTTCTTTTTGGATGTCTGTAGTCTGGGAGTGCCCATGACCTCTCCAGACAACTGGTTCCACTGTCGTATTGCTCTGACAGTGAGGAAACTTCTTGACATTTAGCCTCAACCTGGGTTATCGGAGCTTGAGCTGATTATTCCATGTCATCTTAAACTTCATCCCTTCTCCCCTTCCTTGTATTGTGTCTCATGCTTTCAGGAATCTCCTTCCACCTCAGAAGTTCCATTGCTTCATCAGTCTCCAATCTAAAAGAAGAAAAATCTTTATCCATGCTTTTTTCACATTGCATATCTCTTGTCCTTTCTCTCTCTCTCTCAGCTGTAAGCTTGAAGTAAGTACTGCTCTGTAGCCAACACCAAGAATAATCCTCACACATCACTGACTGACAGTGGTACCTCCAGCTCTTGGATCAGCCCAAGCCCTGCCTTGATGTGCCGCAAGCAAAGCAAGATCTCTCCTACTGAGCTACCACCCTTTTGCTAAAGATAAGGCAAGATTCCAGTCCTCGCAGTTCCAAAGAAAGGCTGATTTAGATCAGTATGTAGGTGCTGTGCCTTGTTCCATTTGGCCCAGCAGCGTCAACACGGAATGGCTTCCTGGAGCTCCAGCACTGTTAGAGACATTGGGGTTCGCAGCTGGAGCCTCTCACTCACACTAGCCGCTGTACTGCTTTGTCATTCTCTCCGGGTGAAGCCAAAATGTGCTTGTTCACAACACTCAGCTCCCAGTTTCTTCCTCTTCCCCAGTCTGCTTCACTGGGGGTGGGGGGGGGTGTTCTTGTGACCAAAGGTTTGATTTCTGTGCATCTTGTCCTCCCCCACCACGAGCTTTCCTGGCCCAGTCAGTGGAGAGGATCTGAACCTGCTGCAGAAGACACAGTATGGAAACCTTCGTTCCTCTCCGAGCTGCTGAACTGGGCTTGGTGGTCAGTCTTGGAACAGTCATGATTCAGGGAGTTGCTAGGGAAGAAGCGTTTCTGTGCGTGAAGCTTCGCTGTATCCACTATTCTGCCTTCCAGCTAGTGTCACAAGGGGGAAATCCAGCAGCTGAAATGCTTAAGACCAAGCTTGAGATTATCTTTAAAACCTTCAGCAAAAGGTTGCAGCACCTCTCGCCCCTTAGCAGGAACCTCCCTGTCCTAAAGGGATGACTGAATGGGGTCATCCCCAACGTTCTGCCCAGCATTCCGTGTTTCCTGGAAGCTCGGTGTGCCCAGCCCTAGCTGGGATGCTCATGGGGGTCACTCCCTTTTCAGGTTCCTTCCCATGGCCCCCCAACCAAGGCTTCCCTCACGTGTCTTCATGGCCCCTTTTGGTGTGCTTTTAGGCTGGGTGTGCTTTGTGGCCCTTGCACTGGCCTCTGGAAACTCAAAATTCATCTTTGGAAAAGAGGAAGGGGGCAGGGGTTCCTAAGGGCCTGGAGTCCCATGCTCAACCCATCTTTGACTTCTTGCAGTCTTAGACTCCCACACCTCTTCCAGCACTTTGTGTTGACTTTTTTCTGTGCCAGACTAAAGAGTTGTAGCTACTAAAAAGAAACTGGGACCAAGGAGTTTGGTTCATGCACTGGCTTTCTGTCTGTTTCCTGGCCAATATCATGTTGCACCCACAGAAATCGTCTGAGTAGGAGGGCATCATGGGGCTGGGTTCTGGGCGCAGTTTGGCGGCTTTCAGGCTTCCTACCTCCAAGGGACCCTCTCAGATGCATGGTTTGGCCATTGAGTTGCAGGTGTGCACCTGCTGTGTAGCTCCCTGTCCCCCATCGTGGACTGTGCGATGGTGTGAAGGCCCAGCCCATGTGTGGGAAGGTGGCAAATGGTTCTGCAGACTTTGGCAGTCATTGCTCATCTTGTGTTTTTTCTGTACTGGGTGCTTCAGGCTGCCTGGTGGGAAGAGGTGGTGATGCCCAGGACCTCGGTGGCCGTGCTCCATTCTCGGACTTCCACCCCTGGCCTCGGGGCATTAGGAGGAGGCCTTAAGTGCAGCAAGAGCTCAGCTCCACTGCGGTGGCCCTTGTTCCTGGACGGGTCTCACATGCCTGTCCTTCCACTGTTCCCCTCTGGGTTGGAGCAGAGAGCATTCCATGGTGCTCTGTGCATGTTTTATGTTTGCCATGAAGTATAACTTGCATGGTCTCCTCCATTTCCCAGTCTGTGGGAAAGCCGTTTGAGAAACAAACAGCCTTGGCGGTTGCTGTGCATCTCACCTGCCACCTGGGGTCTGGTTCTGAGGGACCCAGGAATGGCCCTGATGGTGGGGAGCTCGCTTGCACTCCCTGGGCTCCGGGCCGCCGCTCCTCCTGTGGCTGCACTGCTTCAGCCCTGGCGGGGAGGCGTCCTGTGTTCTTCCACAGCTGCAGCTTCTCTTGATTACAAGAGGAGCAAGCCTTTTGGGGAAGCTAACAAACGGCCCAATTGTGCGCTCTCAGCCTGTGGCAGCATCATTTGAAAAACCTGTCCACTGAAGCACCTGGTGCCAAAACCTCCGCAGCTGCACAGTGGCCAACTTGCATGCCTTAGTCCATTGCTGGAAGTGTTTTGCACCCAGAAGGACATCCAAGCACAGGATGACGGCCAAGTGGGCCAGCAGGCCAAGTGGGGGAGGATCCTTGCCTGGGCCAGTTGCAACGTCCCTGTGGCTGCTGAAAATGCTTGCGGGGCCTTCTGTCTAAATGGGGGCAGGTGGAGGAATGGTTCTGTATGCTGCTTTTTCTTGGAGGAAATGTGGGTTGTACATGAAATAAACTAAAGAGAAGAAGCTCTGTTGGCACTGACTTAAGTGGATTCTGCTCCGATTTCTGGAATGAGCAAGGGACTCGGACCTCCCTGTGTAGCCCTCTTGCTTGTCCCGGAGAGAAGACATCTGCTGTTGCACTTGGCTGGTCATGCTTTATGCAGAAGTGGACAATTGTGTGCCAAGAGCAATTGCAGAAGTGCGAAACGCCAGGATGAAGAGACGACTGCTCTGCAAACAGGCAGTGTGAGCACATTCCAGCTTTGATCACACTCTGCCACCAGCTCCCAAGGACAGGGAAAGTTTGGGGCTGTGGGGGGGAGGGGCATGAATCTCGGTGCAGCAGTGTGAAGCCGTGGATCAGTGCCACTTACCACTCCCTGCCTCCCCCCCCCCCCCCAGCAAAAGGAGATTTAGGCTGCAAACCTAAACCTTACATGCATAGAAAGACAGCCACCTACTTTGTTCCTTATTTCGCTTGCTCTTGCAAGGGATCCAAGGCTGATTACACAATCCTATCCTTGTTACCTTCATAGGAACCCTCTGAGGCAGGCCAGTCTGCCAGTCAGTTCCCCGGGGAGTTTCCTGCCTGAGCCCCAAGGTGACAGCCCAGCTATGTGGCCACACCAGTGGTCCCATTTTGTGAGTCAAGTGGGATGTTGCTGGGAGGGGTAAGGTAGCTTTTTATCTTAAAGAGAAATGAATGAAGCACCAAAGCAATCTAGTTCTCATGAGTACCAGTAGAAAGCTAGCCATGCATGCTAATGAAAATGCCAGACGTGTGCTTGCTTTCAGCAGCATGGGAATGGAGTTGTAAGCTCTGGGTGTTTGGCACCTGTTTAGTCAGTTTGCTTTTGAAATGAGAACTACATAATCAAGCTTGCTTTCTTTAGGCTGACTTGGAGAGCTCTCTGTCCTCCCAACAGGAAAGTCTTGGGGTGCTAACATACAATTATGCAATGAATGGGTCTGTGAGTTTCCTTCCTTGCACATTTTCAGTCTGGTCTGTCTTCACACTGGGGCTAGACGTTTGGCAGCAGATTCTGAATTTCTTTGTGTACTCTTGGGAGTGACTTTATTTGAGCAGTTTGACAGGAGACAGACACATGGAGGAGAGGCCCCCTTTGTGGGTAAGAGTGGTCTGAGCGTGAGGATGGGTGGGTTCCTGTGTTAGGTCTGGGTTTGAGCCAGCGCTTTCCAGCGGGGTTCGCTGAGAGCTTTAAGCCCACTTAGTCCAGCTTGAAATGCTCACCTGCTCTTGGTCAGTATGAAGAGTTACTGACCTAAAAAGTAGAGGGGGGGGCGGGGAGGAGAGAGATTCTCAGGCACTGCAACAACTGGTTGAGTGGCAACTTAAAACAATGCCCCACTAATTTTGCTTGGGCAGGATATTTACATAACAATCCATTCTCAAGTTGAAAAAGCAGAACTCTTAATGGGAAGGTTTCCAGGGGCTGAAACAATTGTGCAGGCAGGCCTGGGCTCTCCTCGTTCATCAGCCCACACACACGGTGGGAAGACGCACTGGCAGATGGCAGCCTTGATGGGTGCAGCACTGACGTGTTCAGGTCAGCCACGCAGTGTTTTGCACCTGGGGCTCTTGGGGCTCCAATCCCGTGCGAAATGGCTGAACACTGAACACCACTGAACAAGAGTGCACCAGCGTGCACTCTTTGTGGGTCTGAGGGAGTGGAAGGACCAAAGCACATGCCCTCCTCTACATTGCCATGGCTGGGCTGCCTGTGTGAGCTGACCTAGACAGCCAGAGAGTGCTCACGGCAGCAGCCGCACTACAGTTCCTGGGCAACAGGAAATGTTTGCCTCCTTCAGCAGTCTCCTCCTGGAGCTGCGTGTGGCGGTGGGCTGAGGCCCCAGACAGAAACTAAACACAGCCATGGCTGGCCACCAACAAGGTGGCAAGAGGGGCTGAGCCAGCCCTGTAGGAGGAACGGCTCAGACCTCAGAAGTGGCGGGGAGGCACGTTGCCACAAGCTGGGCTTGGTGAGGATGCCCGTCCAGCCTCGCCCACCGTCTCCTGGCTGGGATTTCTGCCCAGCTCTGACTGCATGGAAGGAATGCGTGATCTCCTGGGGAGGGCCACCTGCCTCATCCTGACTGTTCTGTGCACAGGTTGAATGGACAGTCCCACGCCTCTCAATGAAGGATCAGATTCTTCATGGGGTCACTCTGCCACTCCACCACCACTCTGCCCATTTTAAAGTCAAGAGGCAAGTGATCCTTCTGAATACCACCCAGCAGTATGCAAAGCGGCTGTGATGCACATTGCATATCCCTTGGCACATCCTTACACATCCGCAAGGGGCGTCTGTTTCCCCTTGGGGAAGGCAAGGGGGGGTTGCAGAAACAGGCACAAAGGGGATGGGGATGGAGGGCAGAGAGTTGCAGCCTTATGAAGGAAGGCAAACTCCTGTTTGAGCCTCCTAACAATAGGTTCTCCAGGGGTGTGGAAGTTCAACACCTGCCGTTCTGGACCAGCATGGCCTGCTGCCAGGAAATGCAGTCCAGCATTTCTGGAGGGCACCAGGATGGAGGAGCCCCATTATTAGCATGCCTTCAGTACTAGACAACAAAGCGAGAAAAAAGACACAGGCCTTGCCTTCAGTGAGCTTACAGTCAAAATTTTAACACTGGGAGGGCAGAGAATGGGTTAGCGGGGGACAAAAGTGAGGGCCAAGGCTGAGGCAAGCTTCAGGAGGTGTGTGACAGGGTTGCCTTGGGGGCATTCAGGCTGCTGCAGTCCCACCGTGGCCCCCGCACCACTGTGGGATCAAAGATCGGGCCTTTGGTGAGTGTGGCTGATGGAAACGTAAAGATGCGCAAGGCAGGGAGCACCCAGGCAGCTGGATGAGGTTTCCCCATCATAGCAGCCACCGTTCTGTAGCACAAACAGTGCGCTTTGTCCCAAGAAGTGGTTGGTATTTCTCTTCAAGCTGCCCCATGTGCTTTTCTTGGAAGGGGCAGTGGGGTGGGCGGCGGGGGGGGGAATATATAGCAGCAATATTTCAGCAGGCTCTCTACAAAGCACACAAGGACAAAGTTTGGGGGTGCATTCCTTTGCTGCTTCCCCAGGATTGAGGGGTACCAAATCCTAGAGAGGGGTGGGGAGTAAGGTGAGCACCCTCCCTCCAAAGGTTTGGCCTCAGAAGGTCAGCTGAAAGTCCAGAGCTTGGATGAAGAAAAGACAGGCTCTTGCTCCACTGGTTGGGGGCGACGTGTCAAAAACTGTTGAGAGGTTGGGAGGGGGAGGAAAGAAAGGAAAAAATACAAGTCATAATTCAGTCATGCCAAATGTAAATTCGTGCATGTTTTCCCATGTGTCATGCCTGCTGTGACCCATTACTACCATCGTTTTACACTTTCTCCTGCAAAACGCTTTCTCATGTGTTTCTAACCTATACATACCATGCAAGTGTGTCACTGATGTACCATATGGAGGAAGCACACAGCAACGGTTGGTGAGTCACACTTCTCAGCTTGCAGCCTTTTCCACCAACTTGTAACTCTGGATAAGGTGGAATGTTCATGATGCTTCCGTAGCACCTCTTTGGCCAAGCCAGTGTTCTCACTGTGGGCTCACTGTGCTTTAGGAATGCCACAGCAATTCCAAATAACACCTGCAAAGCCCCCACAGGTTTCTTCCTGTGTTCCCTCTGTCCCTGCTTCTGGTCCTTGTGAGGAACCTAAACACAGTGGTACCTTGGTTCACGAACTTAATTTGTTCCACGATTCTGGTCATGACCCAAACTGGTCACGAACCAAGTCAAATTTCCCCATAAGGTTCAATGTAAATAGGGTTAATCTATTCTGAACCATAACTTTATGTCATACACAAAGGACAGCATATAAAAGATTTAAGTAAGTATTTTTTTTTTTAACCACAAAAATATGAGCCACATCCCCGGGCTGCGGGCCAAGCTGTGGCTGCCTCACCGAGCCTGGGGGTGGGTGGGCCAAGGTGGAGCAGGAGCAGGGCCACGGCTCCCATGCCTCCACTGTGGCCTTCTTTGGCCAAGCCGCCACCGTCGAGTGGCCACCATGCTGCTTCCCCCCGCGGGGGGAGAGGCGGGAGGCACCCCGCTCGGCCAGCCACAGCCCTGTCCCTCACCTCCCCTCACCTCGGACTGCAGAAAGCAGCCCTCATCTTCTCACAGCCTCTCCCAGCCAGGGAGCCACCCCACACCTGCCTCTCCGCCCCCTCTCCCACCCCCCTGGAGCCAGGCGAGTGCCTGCCAGGAGACTTTCCTCCGGCTCAGAAGTGGGGTAGTGGTGAGGAGCCAGGAAGGCCCGACTAAGGCAAGCGCACCCTCATGGCTCCCCCTTGGGGTGGGTGGGGAGAAGGTTATTGTCTGGAGTGTTCATGCGGGAACATGGCCATGATCGTGGTTGTCACCCAACGTGGAGTTCACGAACAGAGGCAAAATTTTGCCAAAACTTATCTTTGTGACCCAATTTGGTTGTGAACTGAAGTGTCTGTGAGCCGAGGTACCTCTGTAGTCAAGGCCCGGAACCGCAAGGATATCAGTGTGTTCTGTGTTGTGCATTGCGATCTTACAGATGTGTATTCTGTAGCAGGTATAACACAGCACAGAATTCCTAAATTGTCTTCCTATGATGTGATGGGTGGCTCTTTTCCAAGGATGGCTTTGACCAAGCAAATGGTCTTTGCAGTAACAAGCCTGTCTCATTCCTGGGCCCGAGACTCTGGTATATGCAATATTCCCCCCACAAGGGGGGTCTCTGCATGACAGTGCCCTCCGGATGCCAGTGTGGTGTAGTGGTTAAGAGCATGGGACTGGGACTCAGGCGATCTGGGTTCTAGTCCCCGCTCAGCCATGGAGCCAACTGGGTGACTTTGGGCCAGTCACAGACTCTCAGCCCAACCTACCTCACAGGGTTGTTCTTGTGGGGATAAGATGGAGGAGGACAATGATGTAAGCTGCCTTGAGCCCTTTGTAGGAAAAAGGCAGGATATAAATCGAAAAATAATAAATAAATAAATAAAT